TATTAATTGAAACAATTGAAAAAAGACGAAGAAAATGTACACGAGATAAAAATTCTGGCATTGTTATTTCCAACCAACGTATTGATAAACTTGTATCAAAAAATTTTATTGTATCATATTTTTGAGACCATATTATATTATGTTTATCATCACAAAATGCAAGAAGAAAATTAAATTGATTAGAAAATTTATCAAACATTTTTTGATAATCAGGAATACCGGTATAAGATTTTAATATATCGAATTTCATTGAAAAAAGAGATTTTAATTGAGTTTTTATTTGTTGATTTAAATATGTTTGTATTCGTTGTTTACTTGTTGAAGTTGATGGTGTTTGATGATGAAGACCATAAGAAAGTACTAATGAACGCCAAAGACTTTCATCTTGTGAAATTGAACACCTGATATTAAAAAAAAACAATAGAATATTTCATTTTGAAAACAAAAAGAAAGTAAAGCATTTACCATCGTCGGCAGACACTACCAATATTGAGTAAATCAATAGGTGTTAAATAACGAAAAATATATAGAAGAACATCATCAGGTAATTCATTGATTTCAATTTTTTTCGAAATCATATAACGAGGTTTTGTAGCATTAGGTAAAGGAAATTTTGTTATTTTTCTAGTCGATGTCACACTATTGATTGATAGATTTGAAGAAAGACTATGTCTGATCGATTTTGAATTCGACATTTTTCAAACTAAGAACTCTTGTATATTTTTCTCGTACTCCATTTTTCTCTTGTTCATTCTCTGGCAACGACTTCCTCACATTCACTCTACAGATGTCAGAAGTAGATTACAACACATTTTAACATGTATTGTTTACTACTATTATAAAATTTAATCGATTTATAGATGAAACTTAGAAAGAACTTATTTCCACTTTAAAAAAAAAATAATTTAACGAACATTTTTCAATGCTATCATCACTTGATTACGCGTTAGAAGTTGAAAAAAAAATTAGGTAAGATATTTGATCAGTTAAAAAAAGTTCTTTGATCGAAAACATCGTCAACAAGATCTTTATCATCCTCCATGAAATAATACTTCAGCTTTTTTGTTTTTCAGTAATTAAATACATATCAATTTACTTTATATTTTTATTGGTAATATATTTTTATTCTGTCTTTTAAAGAAACAATACAGAATGACAAAATTTATGAAAAAAAGATTGGACGGATAATAATTGAATTATCAGACAAATTATCATTAAGAATTATTTGATGTTTCGGATTTTGCGATTTCAACAATCATATCACACATAGTTTTATGTTTAGGCCAATGTTTAACTTGACATTCACTGAAAAGAAAAAAAAAAGAGTTTAAGATATACAATCATTTACATAGTTATTATTAAATAAATAAATAAATATTAATCAGGAAGTGAACAATTTACTCTTGAATGCAATCAGAAAAATGTAAACAGACAAAAAACAAAAAAGATTTGCCATTGTTTTTGAAAGAAAAAAAACACATTTTTCAAGCAGAAGGTAATAGAAATCATCGGAAATGTTTGAAGAAAATGATGTACCAAATAAAAACTCATATTGGTTATGAAAGATTTAGCTTCAAGATATCTTCCCATGCATTTATCTTAATTTCGATAATTCTGAAGAAAATGGACTCTTAAAAGGGAGAAGAGCTTAAAATGGGACAAAACAGAATAATGTTTTAGATATTGAATAACAATTAAAGGGTACTGCTTTCCAGCTGTTTCCAAAAAATGATTTATCAAAAAAAATTTTTACAGACACTAAACACTGTTTTGGATATAGCAGATCAATATTTTTGAAGCAAAACAAAGAACACTCATCCTAAACAGTTAATAGAAAGTTGACCAATGTACAGTTTTCATCACATAGATTTAATTTCTTAAAATAGTCACAAAAAAACCGAAAACTTTGGATTACAAAAAAGGTGATACCTTCAAGTGAATACATGGATCGATATCAGCGACCAAAATATTAAATTACGAGAAAACAATGATACAATTTTCTTACCGTCGACAATACCATTCACGTTGACAACGTGAACAACGTTTAGTAGCTGGTTCACCACATATAGCACATTTAGGCGTGTCATTAATAATTGTTTCCAGTATATCAAAATTCATTGTATTTGCCCAACTATGTTTGTTGAAAAAAAAAACCAAATAAATAAATACAAAAAAAAAAAAAAACAATCTCTACCGTGCTGCTTGTTGTCGCGCTTCAACTTCACTTGGATTTAAAACTGTTTTAGCTTGTGTTTCAGCTATATTACGCCATTGATTTTTATATTTTCGTATTATTCGATCATATAATTCAGCAACCTAATATAAATTAAAAATGATTTTCTGTTTTATTTTTATAATAAATTTATTTATTACTTGTTCTAAAACAAGTTGTTTTTTAACTGCTGGTGGTTCCATAAAACTTAATTGTTCAAGAAAACGTTGTAATTGTATAAGATGAGGCATTTGATCAAGTACAACTTCATTAAGATGAGCACGTAATTTAGTTATACGATTTTTATTATAATCTGTATATTCATATTTTTGTAAACAATGTGGACTAAGTAATAATTGATAAAGAGCTAACCAAACTTGTCCTTCTATTTTCGGTATTAAATATCGATCTTCAATTGAGATGTTTTGCCATTTTCCTTCAATATGTCGCATTAATGTACCTAAAACTAATTATTGAAAATTATTTATTGAAAATTAAATATATTACCATCATTGAGTGTTTTTTCCCATGGTTTAATTTCAATAAAATCAACAAGTAATAAAATAAAATCAAAATTATCAAGTAAACGTGTTGTTACACTAATTGGTAATCTTAAAAAAGAAAAGAAGAATTCATTACAAAAAATGAATATTAATTATTTGACATACTTTTGTAAACAATCACAAATATATCGAACAATACTTAACATTTTCATTCCCATATCAAATCGAAGAGTTTCTTCTTGTGTAAGAAGTTCCTAAAATAAAAAAAAGAAATTTTATTTTATATTTAAAAATATAATTATAGATTTTAAAATTGTTTACTTTGATACTTTCAGAAACATCATTTAATGAATTATCATTTTGATTTGATTGTTTTTGACGAATTCGTTGTTCTCTAAATTATTTAATCTTTTAATACAAAAAAAAAAAAATCTTCTTTTATTCATACTCATGTTTTAATTTTCGTATTATTTCAGTTAATAAACGATAACTATAATCAATAAGATCAAGTATTTGATCATCGAATGACGTACAAACATCTTCATGATACATTAATGTTTCAAGTAAATTAATAATACATGCTTCATGATAAAACTATTATACCAAATAAATTAAAATTATATATAGTTTAAATAAATTAAGAGTTAATATCAACATACAATGATATAAATTGAAAAAGTGATACGTGGTTCGAATCTTATTGCAATAAGTTCACGAAAAACTTTTTCTCGCCAAATTTCAGTTGTTATTAATTGAGAAACAAGAACAGGAAGCTAAAAGAAATTTAAATTTTTATAAAGATCCATTTCGTTTAATTTATTAGTATTGTGTAGTAAATTACTCTTCCTTATTGCTTTAATATTTTATTAAAAATGATAGTTTAATATATAATTCAATTAATAAAACATAGAAATAAAATTAAACTTAAAATTAAATTGAAATTCTAGTTTTAACTAGACAAAATTAGGATAAAGATAAACTCTTTATGTTAAATGTGAAAAAATAATTCTAATTTGATCCTTTATATTCACAAGTTTTTTTTTCTCTTCAAAATAATGTCTAAAAGTCAAGGTTATAATAACCTATGTGAGAGAAAAACGTCTATTATACGTCATTTAGAAGAGGAGATTATTATCGAACAATCTTTTTTTTTCTTTGATCACGATTCAATGATCGCGTCTGGCTCTACTCCTCATTCACCAGAAACATATATCAGCACGATGGTGATTTACACGTTGAGACATAGTTATAGTTGTAGATTCAAATACTACGATCAAGTTGGATCATCGATAAAAATCGCTGATTTTGATGACATAAGTATTTACCGATATTTGTACAACCACCTCGCTGGGAATGATATTTTCTCGAACAAAAAAATTTCCATTTGTTTACATGAACTTTGCTTTGTAGCACACTTGCTTTTACAATCGCATGTGCGACTAATTGTTGAATCCGATTCAGCTATTCTCTTTATTAAAACATTTGACTGTATGAACTAATCTATAGTCGAATTCTAATTTTGCTCTGAATAAATTCGGAATTTAACCTAATTCCACTTTTACCCCCTATATATGTATGTTCTTTTGTCTTTCTTTAGATGTTATTATGATGTTTAATATATAACAGTAGGACAACAAAATAGTGATACCAGTAGGAGAGATGGACTATTTGTTTTCTTCCTTTGTTATGCTATCATATCTCAAACATCATGACAACATCTAACAAAAACCAAAAGAGCATACATATATAAAACTTTATAATTGAATTAATTTTCATTTTAATAAAATATGTCTTTCCTAATAATTCGTAATAAAATCCATTTTTATTTATCAATAAATCATTTACCTTATCATTATTTACTATAACTTCTCGTACATATTCATGTGTATTTCGATTAGCATCAAGAATAGCTTGCATATTTAATTTTTCAATATATTCATGTTGTGTATGCCATCTTAAAAGAAAAAAAAAACCATTAAATAATTCATTATAGAAATATTTTCTTACCTTGGTTTTCCTATATCTTCAATTTCAAATGGTTCTAATGCTTCAACAAATGCATCGACTTCTGTCGAAAGTAAAACAATTTGATCATCACTCATCTAAAATAATAAGCAAATTGTTAAAGCGTGTCTTTTTTGATTTATTTATTTCACCAATCTTTCAATAGAAAGAAAAAAAAAGCAATAAACTACTTATTTTTTAGCACCGTACAAATAAGAATATAATTAAAAGAAAATAAAAATAAAAATAAAAGCATCTACAAATTTGGATTATTGTTGCATTTAATTATCGAAATTTTCAATTGCTAAATCTTGTTTTGAATCAAGATTTTCAATAGGATTTTGTTTATCATCATTATTTTGTGTTTCATCAATTTCTTTAGTTGCACGTAATTCATGTTCATAACGTATTAATTGAAGAAAAAATGACATATTTGGTGCAGCCATACGACGTCGTTCAAGTAAATAATCATAAGCTTTAACAAGTGAATCATGATGATATCTTAAAAAAAAAAAATTAAATTAAAATTTTAAAATTCTAAAAAAAAAATTTTTTTTTTTACTTCATTAAATAAGCAAGAATAATTGTTGATGAACGAGATATTCCCATTTGACAATGAACTAAAACTTTTTCATTTTTTTGTTTACAATTATATAGAAATTTATTTGTTTCATCAAAATGTTGCTTTATATCAGCTTGAAGTTCATCATATAAATTAATCCATAAAACATTATATTTTTCTATGATTAATTTCTCTAATGGACAATCACATATATTAATTATATGTCGAATATTAAGACGATGAAGTAAACCTATATTTGATGCATGACCTAAATCACCATGATAAAGAAAATCATCAATAACAACCGATGGATAACTAAAACCATTTCGATCAGATGTTAATGGTTGACGTTTTTTTGTTCGCAGATCTAATATACATCTAAGATAAGTTAATTCATCATCTGTTGCCTTGCATGAACGTCGTAAATAATCTTCCATTATAACAACAGCTGGTGAACTGGATCCAGCATTTGATATTTGCTGATTATCAGACGAAGTATTTGTCGTCTGTTTTTTGTGGTGTGATCTTGTGATACCCGTTTTTGAAATCTAAAATCATATTATGACGAAAGCTATCATTATAAATTATTTAATATTTAAAAAATAAATAAATAAATAAATTTTTATATCAGTTCATATTAATTTTTGTCATGATCTAATCATCATAACTTAGTCCTTCTTCAGATCATTCACAACAATTGATCTAAATAATAATGTACATCAAAGAATGTGAATGTCACTGATCTGTATAAGTGCCCAATATTGTTCTTTATGAGAACAGTCGATATTCATTACAATATTCGCTTGAGTGATATTTTTTACTATTATGTATCACAAACTTTTCAGTATATAACAGCTGTTTTTACCATTTTTAATCATATTTACAGTAATATATGATAAATAAGAATATCTAAAAAAAAAGTATCAACATGGAACAAAACAAATTGTGACATTCATCATTGATATTTTCATGTATATTTCTCATGGTAACGATAAAAAATTAAACATGTGAATGCATATAACGTAACATTTTAATAGAACCAATCATTTTACGTGAGTGATCTAGATGGCATACATAGACAAACAGCAATTTATTAACATGATTGTTGATCATTATTGACTTATTTCGCAACTCTCAGATTCTCAAGTGTGCAAGAACTCGATTTTTGTTTTTCGAGAATTTTTAATGTGTAAATAAAAATATCTTGAAGTAATAGAAAAAAACCAGAAAGAAGGATAATAAAGCTAAAGTCAGTTTTGAACGAAATGTTTTTTTCTCAAATGAACTTAAGTAAATTGTGAACTTCTATTTTCTATTATTGTTGAAATTTTTATAATCCTTTTTGTCATTTATCAAGAAATATTTTCAAAAATAATAAAACTAATTGACTCAACTGTAATCAAAATAATGTATATTTTGTATTGTTCATAATTATTTGAATTATGTAGTCATTTTTGGCATAATGATTTACTTGATTGAATAATTTTAACGATGACTAGATGGTCTTATGTTTCATCTGTTTAGAATTTAACTACTCTTAAATCATAAATTTGATTGACTGGTATATTTAATAGTTATCTTCTAATCCTTGTTTTGGTCAAATACAATACAAATAGTAAAAGGTCTGCGTATAGACAAAATTTCAGATAAAAAATCTTTGTTTTGGATTTTTCAGAAATACTTCGCTGTCAGTAAAATTTTCATTAAAATGATCATAACTCTTCATCAATAGGCCAAGGGCTCGGATACTTTTGTCTACATAGCAATGTAATCAAAACTATGGTTCAAATGAATGTTTATCAGAATATAGTGATGAAGTGAATAGAGTTATAAATGAATTTGATGTATTTACACGTAAATTAACAACAGTGCAAATTTTAATATCGACGAAATATTAACGAATGCAACAATAATAAAAATAAGTCGTGCAATAGCAAAAAACCGTAAGAGCGAAATAAATGCCATATTCTTATTGTTTTTCTAAAGTGCAGAATTAATCGCTCGGATCTTTCGTGATATTTAACAATTAACTACAAGCATGGACTATGAATCATTGAATACTCACTGATAAGTACAGACCAGAAAATAAAAAGATTTTTTTTTTGTTATAATTTTTCTTTTTTTTTTGGTAAATGAATCAGCAATTGCACAATATTATTCACATTTTTTATTCTTTCAACATCACCTGAAATTTTATAATATATAAATTAAATGATTAGACGAATATTATGCTTGTTAGATGATTGAAGATATGTCGTCAATCATTTCGAATGAATATATCGGATATTTTCCTAAATTATCTCCTAGAGCTCTTCAAGAATTTTCTATTACTAGAATTCGTAGAGAAAAAATACCAGCTATTTCATTATTTCTGGCTCATTATAAAGCATTTCCATGTTTATTATCTTGTTCAACATCAGAATCAAATGCTTCATTTCATGTATCATCAATTTTAAATTATTTAAAAAATGAATTTGGACATAATACAACTAATGATATTATAATTCAAAAATATCATACAAAATCAAAACAACTTTCTGCTCAGTATGTTTTCTTTTTTGTTTGAGATAAATTTTCAAATAAGAAATTTATTCATTTGTTTTTTTTTTTGTTAAGATTTCGTCTTTGTGACCTTGGAAATGGTATTATGATCTATTTCAACCGTATAGATTCAATATCGGATATTCAAAATCCAAATAAATATTCTCCGGATTTTTCTGATGATTTTTTTCTTGTATCAAAAACTATTTCAATCTATTATCTTCCTGATAATGATATAAAAGTTCAAAATATGGCTAAAGAATTTTTAAAATTCTATATTCTTGAATCTAAATACTTAAAACTTAATATGGTTTGTCGTCAAAATTGTTCATATTATTTACAAGATTTTGAAATAAAAAAACCAATGATTTATGATTTAGCATTACATTATGGACAAAATTTTGTTAAGATTCATGAAAAAATTCTTAAAGAATGCAATAAAAAAGATGGTAAAGGTATTGTTTTATTACATGGAATGCCTGGTTGTGGTAAGTTGAAATTATTTTCTCTCATAAAATTATATATATATTCGTGTTGTTTTTTTATTTCTATTTAGGTAAAACTCATTATATTCGTTATTTAATTGAAGAAATTCATGAAAAAAAATTAATTTATATTCCACCTGATATGGCTAAAGATATATCAAAACCAGAATTTCTTCCATTTTTATTACTACATCCAAATTCTATATTAATTATTGAAGATGCTGAAAATATAATTCGTGATCGAAATGAAATAAAATTAAATACATCACAAGCTGTTGCTAATTTATTAAATTTATCGGATGGTTTATTAGGTGATGCAATACATATGCAAATAATTGCAACATTTAATTGTGATTTAACAAATATTGATAGAGCTCTATTACGTAAAGGACGATTAATAGCTGATTATAAATTCGGTAAATTAGATATTGATAATGCAAAATTATTATCGAATAAATTAGGTTTTGATATGGAACATATTTCCGAACCAATGACATTAGCAGAAATTTATAATCAAAATGAAGAAAATAATGTTGAAATAATAGTTTGAAAATTAATAAGTCAGATTTTTAACTTCGAATATATGCTTTAAAAAAAAGAAAAGTTTTACCATATTTTAATTGAATTAATAAATAAATAAAAATGATTTTGTTTATGTGAATATTAAATGATTTAGTAATGATCATTATCATAGGTTATCTATCTTTTGAGAATTATCCACATATCTATAGGTAACAGAAGCTTATTGAACACGACTTGATAGTATACAACATGTGGACTAACCTTGTAACAACGCGTCATTTATCAAAAGGGAATGCAAATTAAACAGTAATAGAAAATTTTTACAACAATTAGAGCCTATTCAAGACTTTATCTGTTCTAGCACTACTCTATCCAGGCTTCATGACTCATACAAGATAGTAGCATTTTCAAACATCAATCAATGGAAATCAAAGTGGAACAAATGAATGTATTCAATTACAGTTGAAAATACTATTAAGTTTGATGCTTATAGTGTATCATCAATAGACTATAGAAGACAAACATAAATGATTAAGTAATTGTTATAAAATATAGAGTTTGAAGAGTCAAGCCATTTTTTTGAGTAGAGTTGTGTTTCAGTGAAATGTGAATGATGAATTTAAGAATATAACAAATAGCTTTCATCATCTGCATACATATGATATTATTTCTTAAATGTATTGAAATGTATGGTATTTGTAAAATATTTGTGTAGTATACGAATTTTTGTAACTTGAAGTTATGATCGATTTGAAAGAACATCTTTGGTGGATTTGAGAGAGCATTTTTATTGGATTTCTAGCATATTTGGCGTGTCTCTTAGTTAGTTCTTATCTTAAAAGTTTCTTAGATATTAGAGAAATTTTTGAATACCTTATTGTCTTATTTTAATTAACTTAAATTGATAAGATGTTTTTGTTGATTTATTCTTCATGTAGAATATATGATTGATTTGCTTCTGCATATTTCTCTTGGTTATTTTAAATCTATCTAAACATATGATAAATATTTGCTTTTTTTGTGTATGGTCATCAAGTATTTAATCAATCATGACTTGACATGCCTATTCAGCTTTATTGAACAGATCGAGTTTCATCAGTAAATGATTCAATTGATACTCTCATTTGTTGTTCATAACCGTTTCTTTGCATATTTTTTTTTTGTAAGCTCATGAAATTGTAGATGGTTATCATTTTTCTCAATGTTAGTTCTACTTGCTAGCGACGATTATTGTTCCAGTCAATTGGTCTGGGTTAGCCACTTTAAACTATAGGATACATGGAAAATAAAATTATATATTGACAAAAGAAGTTGATAAGTTCGACGAATCAAAAAACAATTGAAAAAGAATTTCTATCAGATCATAATCAATCAAATCAAAACAAAAAAAAGGTTGCTTGATCGATGTTCATCGATATGAAATTATTGAAAGATATTAATTCAATTTCTATTTCCTCAGCTATTTAAAATCAATCAGACATAAACTTTGATCATGATACACAGTAAACTATTCGAAACTTTGGAGATGAGGATATTTTTCAGAATGTACATCACATATCAATATAGATGATTTTAATGGTCTTATTCATGATATTCTTTTCCAAGTTTATCGATATTATTAAGTTCGATAACATTATCAATGAATTCTTCATGACAATAAATGATTAATTTCCTACTATGATGTTGATTGCAGTCAATGGCCAATACTATTTCTTTCAGTATTGAAGTGTATATGAAGAAATGGTTAAATTAATCGAGATTTTAGCTGGATAGATCACCATTCATAGAGATAAAGCTCGTTGAGATTGCTCTAATTTCTGGTTGCAAAAAATTTTAAATCGAATCAACTTGAAGAATTAGTTAAATGATAAGTGCAATAGTTTGATCTATTATCCATTTCAAAATAGAATGTGCTCCACTGTTTTTCGAATAACTCGAGAATGGAAGCAGCTAGAAACCTGCGGTTTTCACCAATCGAAAGAGGAGACAGAGGCACGTCTTTTTCTTCAATATTGTATAAGACGAAATCCTTTAAAACTAATTATCTCTGGGAAGCATGGAAAAGAATGCATGAAAGTCACCTGCCATCTAGATGAAATTTTGATTTTGATCTTCGATTTAGATAGAGGGACTTGAGATCTATAGTTTAAGATACAATGCACTTTCCTACTTTTCGTTACGTTTTCATCGAAATGTCCAGCTATTATGATAAAAAGTGCAAAAACTTAATAAAAAATCAGTAAAATTCCCTATTATTTGCGCATGTCAATACATGATTCCATTTGCTCAACTTTAGAAGGCAATAAGAGAACCGTTTGCATTGTGTCTTGAACTATAGATCTCAAGTCCCTCTATCTAAATCGAAGGTCAAAATCAACATTTCATATAGATGGCAGGTCACTTTCATGCATTCTTTTCCATGTTTCCCAGAGATAATTAGTTGTAAAAGGACTTCATCTTATACAATATTGAAGAAAAAGACGTGCCTCTGTCTCCTCTTTCGATTGGTGAAAACCGCAGGTTTCTAGCTGCTTCCATTCTCGAGTTATTCGAAAAACAGTGGAGCACATTCTATTTTGAAATGAATAATAGTTCTTCAGACAAACTCATGATGACCTTTTTCTTACTTATTATTGTTAATGGCATCAACACATCTGTTAGCATCACTTGTATTAATTTCGTCAATACTAGTTTCAAAATACACCAAGAGGAAATTTAACACCGTAGAAGCATATCAAGGTCATACAGTATTATATTCAAGTAGAGGTATGGTAATTGTAACCAGTGAACAACTGAAATTTCGCTGTGTCTATTTCACACTATGAAGACTATAGTAGTGTCTGTTGGCTTCTTTTTATCTATGATGTAAGTTCAATAAGTGAACTAAATGCAAGATGTTGAAAAAATTAAAAAGTATTTCTACTATTATAAGATTAAATTCTTTTTTTCAACTCTCGGAAAATCTTTTGAGGTTTTTCTCTACGTGGTAGAAATCTATCGAATAAGAAAAATATAATCTCCTTTATTCCTTCACACTATTTTAAAGTATTATTTAAAGACATGAGTGGAACAATCTTGTCTATATCTTTGTAGAACACATCAGTCGTGACAATATGACATTCAACGCAAGTTTTACACCAACCATCTTGCTCAGATCTAGTCACTTGGCAATACTTATATCAACACGAAAAAAACAGCAGTAAATTATAGTCAATAATCATTATAAAACATAAAAAGGAAATATTATATGAACTTGACTTTATAATAGAAAAATATTATAAAAACTTCATGTTAACAGATGATTAAATACTGATGATTTTTCTCTCGTCTATTGGTTATTGTTAAACGAAAAATAATTTGTTCTAATAGCATTATTTCATTTCATCAAATTATATTCTATTACTGTAAAAAAAAATAAGAGAAAAATTCAATAAATTCAGAATATATTTTTCAAAAACAAAAAAAAGTCATTCGAAAAATATAATACAATAAAAAATAATAGAAAAAAAAAGGAGATCATAAGTCATTCAATGAGCATTATTCATCACAGTTGAGATTATTAACGATTATTATCAAATCCATTTTCGTTCAAAATTAAAATTAAATGATTGTTTTGCAGGTACATTTGGTGTGTACGAACATGGACCAGGTTGTTCAGCTGCTGTCATTGTATTAATAGCCCATCGGCTTGTATTTGAAACAAATGCAGCCGATGACATATATTTCTTTTCAACGTCTTTAAAATCACGAAGTTCATAATAACCTGGACCAGGATATGGAGCTTCAGGAGGAATGGGAACAGCCGGTGCAGAAATCGTCAAATAATGACGACGTCTTCAATAAGAAATATATATATTATTTTCAGAAAAAAGAAAACTTTTCTAGATCAACATACGGAAGTAATTGTCGATGAGGTTCTTCTGTTGGTTTCTCAAATGGTCGATAGTCAGCGGGACCAGGCAACTTAAATAAAAACCAACAAAAAAAAAATCCATTACAATAGTAAAGATGTATATAATTTTATGATATACTTGAATGCCTGGTTGACAACCGAATGTATCACGTTTTGAAGTTGATTTAAAACTGGATTGATGAGCAGATCCTACTAATCGTTTAGTAGAATCATCCAAATTATATGTACCTGAAATATTAATTCTATTGTTATATATATTGATAAAATAAGAAAACAAACCAGGAGCAGGTGTAATAAAATATTTATTCGTTGGAACACTTCGTTTTGTATGTGATCGAAAAGCTGCTTGAGCTGAAACATTATTTGATTTTGTTATTTGTTTTAATCCTTCTCGAATCTATTACAATAATTAAGAATTTAATCAAAAAACAAAAACAAATCACTAACATCATATTGATTCGGAGCTGGAAGACTTGATTTTGATGATAAAGGTCGTTCAGCAATTGGTTTTTGAAACATACTAGAATATTTCATTCGATTAAAATCATGATGATCATTAGCAAGATTGCTTGAAACATTATAAGTAGTAGGTGCTGGAGCACTTGATGCACCACTCATAGAACCTTCTCGTCTACTCTATACATATATGCAAACAAATAGAAATATTAACAAGAAATAAAACAAAAAAAAAATTGAACTAACTCTTGAAGCAAATCCACCTGAACCTCGTTTTGAATCCGAAGTTTTTTCTAATTGTTTATCTAAAGGTTGAATTGTTTGATATTGTCCAGGACCAGGTGCAAAATTCTATAACATAACTATAATACGATTTATGAAAATAAATTGAATAATAATATACAATATCATATTGAAAACGTTTAGCAGTTTGTTGAAAACCTCGTTGTTCAGTATTACTTGTGATAATAGTTAAATAACGTGATGGAATCGATGGAGAACCCGTAGCACAAACAGTAAAACCTTCAAATAAAAAAAAAAACCTATTACATAGATATACATGCTTCCAAGATCAATCTATCTCTAAATACAACATTTCTTTTAATTATATAAAGAGAAGGATAGCATAGAAAAAGCATTACTACCTTTATTATCAAGGACTAAATTTTAATTATAATATAGAATTATTCTTTTTTTTTTTTTAAATAAAAGAATATTGACACATACCTCGATGAATTTTACTTTCTTCAGATTTTACACGATTAAATTTTCGAGATATTTCACCTTTAGTAATACTATCTGATTGAGTAATCGTCATATTTAATAAATAATTATCTGAAAAGAAAAATTAATCCTTCATCTTGATTTCTTTTTTTTCTATTTAATATCAAATGGATTTTTATTTCCACTTTCAGCACATTTATTCATTGCTTCTTCCCAATGTTCACCATCAAAATCAACATATTCAATAGATGTTATTGTTGGTGAATCAATACAATGTGGCATAACACCATAACAATCAGGATTACTACGTGGTGAATAAAAACATTGTACACCACATTGACGACAAAATAAATGTTTTGCTAAATGAGTATTAAATGTATATGTTGTTAAATAATCAGTACCAGTTAATAAAACAAATTGTCGTTTTGGTACAATAAAATGATGGTTTTGTTTTTTATGACAAATAGAACAATTACAACGAAATACACGTAAATCAGCTGGTGCTTCAACTTCAAATTTAACTGCACCACAATGACAACTACCTAAATGTTTAACAAGCATATCTAAAATATGAAAAAAAAAAACAATTGTTTGACTAGTTGGAAAATATTTAAGTAAAGAGAGATAGAAAGAAACAACGAAAAGAAATTGTTTATTTTTCTGCAACTTTTTCTTCTTTTTTAGCACGTCTTTCAGCTCGAACGTCTGTCCATCTTTGACGTTCCATTGTTTTCATATGTTCCATAAAATTAACACCAAAACCTTTTGTGAAATAATTTGTTGTATCAAAATAATCACCATCAGGTGCATCATAATTTGAATTTGGAAGACTATAGAGAGGTCCACGACGAATAAATGGAATTAATTTTAAATCTACCTAGAAGAATTTTATAATTTAATTTTATGTTTATAAGAAAATGAAAACTTTTCTTTTTACAAATAAAAAAGAATACAATTAGTACATTTCAGAATTGTAATCGGTAGAGAATTTTTGAATTGGTCCAGTTCAATCGGTTTGTCGAATCATTATTAATCGTTTAATGAGAACTGCTTCGAAAAACATTCATTTTCCTTTTTTTGCACTCAGATTTTTACAAATCTCCATGAACAAATATCATGTTATAATCGTTTATATCTAACTAGATTTCTCAATGATAAATATGTGATATTTCTATGTATAGCACGAAAAGAAAGAGTCATTTATCCATCAGCTGATTTCTAAACTTCAAATTTTTCAGACAAACATAACGTTTCGCTTTTATCGGTTACAACTCTCGTGCATTTCTAACTATAAAAAAAAACCTTCGATAGCAGAGATCAATTTTGTAAATTATAAACTTTTGTAAGAGAAGATCAACTAGTATTCAATAGAGTTAAAATGCCTCGAAATGGAGGAGTTCTGTAATATTCTGATAGTATGAATTTACATCATGTTTTGAACGATTCAGATTGCTATTACCAATTGTTACTCATGGATTTCTTTTATGTTATCTTTTTTATCGAGTTTAAAAAACTTGTCTCGTTTACTCGATTTTCAGCCTATCAACATAGGATTTCCTAAGAACTTGGATTATTGAATTTCGAACTGAAATTTTGACTGTATATAGGTCTTATAGTCATTAGAAATTCATCAAAGTTTAAGCCAGAATGAATACATTCTTACCGAGATATTCATATTAAAAAAAAACTTATATCTCGGTAAGTGTGCATTCGTTATAATTCAAATTTTGAGAGGTTTCTGATGACTATCAAGTTCATTTACGATCAATATTGCAACTTGAAATTTGACAATTCAGATTCAGAAGTTTGTTATATGTTTTTTCGAAAATTTAATGAATTTTACATTTTTCCTTATTTCCAAAACTGCACTGAAAATCGTTTTTTTACAAAAGAAAAACAAGAATGTTGATTAGAAACGATAAGAAGACAAATCATGAATGATAGATGAAGAATTTAGATTTTCATAATCAATTACGTCTATTTTTCATACCTGTAAAGCTTGTTCATAAATTTCTTCACTTTCTATTTTTAATTGTTCAAGTGCACTTTCTTGAGATTTAAGAGCACGAGAAATAAATGTTATTTCTTGTTGATGTTGTCGATGTTTATGTTTAGCCCAATCACGATTTAACATTAATCGATGTGTTGTTTCTTCTGGTGTTAATTCAACAGATGGACGTTTTCGAACACTAAAACAATAATTTGAAATTTATCATAAGATAAAATTTTTTATTTTCTTTTTTGACATACTCAAGTTCTTTAAGAATTCTTCTTTCAGATTCATATTCATGTATAGGTTTAAGTTGAAGTTTAAATTTTTCAAGTTTATCTATAACTTTTTCATAACGACGTCGTTTACGATCTTCTCGTATTTTATCCGTCATTGGATCAGCTTTCTTTTTAGCTTTTGTTGGTTGACCATAATTTATAGATGTTATATGGAATGAACGAATAAATGTATTTCGTAATGGAAGTTTTGAACATGAATATGATAGAATATTCATATTTATCGTTATGTTAAAATATAACAAGAAAATATTTTAATGGTATCTATAGGATTTTGTATGCTTGTCGCTATGTACCAATCAAAATAATAAGTTACTAAAGTATACGATTGGTTGGTTAGTTAGACAATACGAATTGATTTATGACATCGAAGTGGTTGGTTGGTTAGTTGGATTTGAAAGATATATATATTGCTGATATATTGCCTAATGTTCACGATATATAGATCAAAATTAAATTGTCTTTAATCTTTATTAAAAAATAATTAGATTTATCAATCGTTGATATTCAAATCTCATTTGTAGAAAACTATTCTATGAAATGGAATTCGTTTTAGGCAAATATTTTATTTCTTTGTATATACTACAATACATGATTTCGATAGTTTAACTATTGCAAAAGAATTTTTTATAAATAAATATATATTAAAATTAACAATACGGTAAGACAATTTTAATAAAATATATTCACTTTCAATTTAGAAATTACTAAAATGAATAATAATTTGAAATAATCTACAGCGAAACTGTGTCTTTATATATTTGAGATTGAAATATAAAGTCTAGGAAAATGTTTGTTTATTAAAGCTTAATAGAGTAACTTTAAAGAAAATGTACAATTAAAATGATTGATTTTAATGAGTTTATAACACTGCACGGTTATATATCAATTCGTCTGATACTGTCGAATATTTACACCTATGTTCTTAGATGTTTTATCAATATTCTCTATTAGTCGACAAGATGTTATCGGAAACAGAGGTACGTTACTTATCGACTTCAGTTAAACGTTATTCAAAAGTGATAATTTACTTTCGAAATATATACTTTTAAACTATAGAGATAAACATATGATAATATCAAGATTAACTTGTTAAATTCTAGAGACTTTCCATCCATTTGATTTAAGCAAAACTATCGCTTTAAAGATTTACCTTGAAGAATTTTCGTGGGAATATTCAAAATGATGAATTTTTTTTTTCGAATGCGTCTTTCCATTTATATCATATTATAAGTTTTTGACAATAATCTTCTATTTTTCCTCTTAGATCTAACAAATAAAATCAAAATATCTAGTTTAAATATGAATAAACTGTCGTATGTTTATTACTATTTAAAAATATAATCATCTATACAGGTTTCTAATAAAATAATCTTATTTTAGATAGATTAATTATTTTTATAATTATGGTTCGTCTTACACCTGAAATAATTGAAGTTGCTCCACAATATCTTAATCCTGTAGGTCAATATGAACTTTGTTTACGAGGTAAATATAAAATATTATTTAAATTATTTCAACAGAAAACAAAAATATTTAGATTTAAAAATTTCTGTTATTGAAAATTTGGGTGCAACATTAAATCAATTTGATACAATTGATTTTACAAATAATGATCTACGTAGACTTGATGGATTTCCATTTTTACCAAAATTAAAAACAATTTATCTTGCTAATAATCATATAACGTAAAATAAATCTCTTCATATCTATGAAATCATAAAAATTAATTTCATTTAGACGTATTGCCGAAGATCTTCAACAATACATTTCAAATTTAGATACACTTATGCTTAATAATAACTTGTTACAAGAATTAACAGATATTGATTCATTAACTACATTACCAAAATTAACTCATGTTAGGTAAATTTTTTTATTTAATAATAGAAAAACATACGTTGTTTTTTTATTTGTTTTGTTGTTCATTTTAGTTTTGCTAGAAATCCAATTGCAATGAAAAAAGATTATCGGCTTTATGTTATTCATAGATTACCAAATTTACGTACATTAGATTTTAATCGAATTACTCAAAAAGTAAAAAAATATTTATATGAAATACTTAGGTCATATCAAAAGTATTATGACGAAGGTATTTTAATTTCTTATAAATAAAAGTTTAAAGAAACTTTTTCTCTATATGATTTAATAGTAAAAACAATGCTCTGGTATTTGATCTTTCTTCATATCTTCTTTTTGCTCGTCTCGTCTAATGCTTAGTCATCTATACATATTAGGACATACAAAAAAAAGTGCTATTGGTAGAGCAAAAAAGAAATACAGAAACAAGTTCATCAAGTTTACTACTTAAGTAATTCTTTGGATCTAATGTCCACGACAGTGTTAAAGACGAGTAGGTGTAATCTTAATAAATCAACAACGGCAATAGTCAGCAACCAGCAGTTTTCAGCAATCGAAAGAACAGAAACTTGGACGTTTTTTGTTTGATACTATATAAGATTTTAATTGAGATATGTGCTTCAGATCTATTGTTTATATAATTCTGTTGATTTGTAGTAAATTTTCTGACTTTTTATTAAAATTTTCTTGCAACGCAAAACAGATAGACGTCCGAAACTCTACGTTTTCGATTGTTGAAAACCATAGATCGATAGTTGTTGTCGTTGTCGAGTTATTGAGCGTATATCCACCCACTCCAAAATCGTTGTATCGTGCTGTAAACAAATTCATGAATTCTTTAAGTAAACAAGAGTATAAAAAAACGTTTGATAAATGCAATTGAGTGTATGATTAATCAGGACGGTTCTTTCTAACATTTAATCAAATAAAGACTTGTTGAATTTATTTCTGTATTTCTTTTTTCTATTGCCACTAGAGCCCGTCGAGTTAGTCTTGAACTCGGGTACGATGAGCTCTAGTAGTCTGAGAAACGTGTAGTGTGCGCTAATCACATAGTACAAAAAAATCGAAAAAAAATTATCTCATGTCTTCGAAGCCACTATCCAATTTCGACTAGAAAATGCCATTGAGAGTACCAAAGTACGTTTCGATCGGATTCGGATTCAAAAAAGTTTGGACCAGACGAACTGTAATCGCCATCACTTTTTGTATACCTTAGTATGTATAGATGGCTAGGCATTAGATGAGACGAGACAAGAAGGATGCAGATTAAAGATAAAATGTGATCTAATATTACCGTCACATATCATAATAAACAACTATTATCTGAATTTTATTATTATGATATTAGTTGAAGAATGATTAAATATCAAATCCCATAGAAAGAAAGTTTCTTTGAACTTTTTATAACGAATTATAATAGCTTCGGCATAATAGTTTTGGTATGTCCTAAACATATATTTATTTCTGTTTCATTTTTGAGGAACGTGAAGCAGCTCGTAAACTTTATAAATCAAAATCAAGTGAAAAAACAAATAAACAACAAAAAGGAGCTAATACATTTGTACCTGGTGGAGAATTAGCTAAACAACAACAACAACAACAGCAAAAAACACCACGATTGAGCAAGAAAGATGCAGATGCTATTAAGGTTTTTCGTTATATTTAAATTCTTTTTTCTTTCTAAACAAAAAACTATATATGAATCTTTTAGAAAGCTATCTCAGAAGCTAAATCTCTCGAAGAAGTTGAAAGATTAAAAGCAATGTTACAAGCTGGTCAAATGCCTAATTTAATAAATCAACATAATGATAATTCAATGGAACAAGGAAATATATATGAACACAATGTTACCGGTATAAATTTTAATTTAAAAAAAAAAATCGAATTTATTATATTCATTTTTGTTTCTATTTTAGGAAGTAATATGATGGAAATATGAATTATATAGTGTTATACAAATCTGTTTTTTTGTTATGAATAATATTGCTATTGTTTCTTTTTTTTGTATGTTCTAATTATTCATTTGTTGTATAAAAATCCGAGAAGATAAAAAAAGAATAAAAAATGATTGTTCATTTTTTAATATTTTTTCAGATACTAATGACAACTGAAAGCAACATTATTTCAACACCAGAATGTAGGTGAAATGAAAATTATTTTCATTCAGTTAAATTGATTTTTCATTTAATGAAAATTGTTATGAGAAAAGTTTTTCGATGTATCTTTGGTTTAAACATTTATCATCTTGCATTCATCATCTAATACAATAATTATTGGCTTGTGTTGGCCGATTGTATACTACTGAGCATGGTTAATAAAATCATAGGCAGTAGATGACAATTACTAGATTAATAATATAGAGTTGAACTGAAATTCCTAGAAGCACGGAAGTTATGTAAGGCTATATAGAAAATTTTATATTCATAGGGTCGTTTCGAGCCGTTGCTTAAAGAAAAACTAGTCTAATACTTTTGGCAAAAGAACAGATATAATGATAAGAGAGTAGTGGTTCTGTTAACATTTAATTCTATTTACTGCTATGTATTCAGTGTGGATGCGAATAACTAGTGTCCTAAAAATTTGAATGATTATTTTTTTTTGCTAGTGGTACATGTTGCTGATTTGGCACATGCTCGAGCTCAAGAACTTCAATCGCTTCTCTATGAACTTGGTCATCGACAAGATAAACATCGAACTGCTCTACAAATTCTTCCACGTTATATGCGTCGTCGAGCAGCCAGTTATAATATTAAACGTTTACCACGTTCACTTCGTCCATTAGCTGATCCTAAAACAGTAAATTATTCCAGAAAATTTTGTTTTCTTTTTTTTTTTGTTTTAATAATAATTTCATTTGTTTCTTTATTTTAAAGGGTACAGCTAAAACAAAACGACCATCTCGTCGTTATCGTCGTCGACCTCGAAATTTACTTTCATCATATACAAATCGTCAAAGAAAAGTAAAATGGCTTAAAACTCATATATGGCATGCAAAACGTTTTCATATGAATACATTATGGAATTATCGTCTTGCTGAAAAATCAAATACAAAATGTATTCGACCAACATATAAATCATTACGTAAACGATGTTTACTTCATGTATGTTTGACCATGTTTTCTAAAAACACGATAGAAAAAAAACATGTTGAAGTATCACAGTAAAAGTTTGAACCATATTGTATTTCTGGAAGACTAAGTAAAAGGACAGTGAAGAAATGTATTCCAAGATAGAAACAATCTACCTGTAATTAATACGAGTAGCTACATCGTGTTTTATATTTTTATCTCACCAAGATTGTGCTAACAGCTTTTTTTTTTTTATTATTGTTGTACAATATTTTCAGGACATGTCGTACTATGGATGTATTCAACTAGAAGGTAATCAAGATGAAATTATTGAAAAGATTAATCTACTTTTTCCATCGTCAAATAATAATTTAACACCAAAAGCAAAAATGTATCTTGGTGGACAATTTGAAGGACAATGTCTAATTTATAAACCTAATACACAAGAATGTTTAACACCAATTAGTTTTATGTGGATGCCATCAAATAATGAACAACGTAAACTTTGGCTTTGGTGTCATCCTGCATCATATGATTCTCTTGCACGTATACTTACGTCATTGTTTGATACATCATCATCATCATCATCATCCATATCAACTGAAGAACCACCTGTAAAAAAACAGAAGAATGATGAAGAACAACGACAACCAGTAACTGTTACTTTACTACGAGATCAACAACAATTAGCTCGATTTCGTTTAATTGGTCCACTTTCAATGGCTATTCTTAAACATGCACTTCATCCAAGTATATTACCTGGTGATGCTATTGAAAGAAAAACTGCACCATTTTCTTGGTGGTCAAATGAAGCTCATTCAACTAATATACATCAACAACAACTTCAATTTTGGAATAGTAATATTGGTAATACATCAACAATGATGCCTAATCGAATTGTTGCACTTGTTGTACGTGATCCACGTATCTTTACACCAATTAAACCAAAATTAACAATTCATTCGAAAACAAGTAAATTTCTTTGTAAAGAGAATATTTCATATTCCTTTTTTTTATTATAGAAATTGAAAAACTTGAATCATTTCCACCATCATCTATTGATCTTGCTAGTTCACCATTATGGATTGAAAAATATCGTACATATTGTTGTGAACATAAATTAGCAACTTATCAAATTAGTCTTATTCGATCAAAATCAACAGTTGATAGTAAATTTCAATTTTAATCATATATAAATTATAAGTCTTGTTTTTTTGTTTTCGATTCAGATAATGAATTACAATTAAATGAAGAAGAATCACAAATTCCACTTATATTTATTCATCATCATGATCTTTTATCACCTATATTAAAATATCAACAAAATCGAAATGATTTTGGTAGTGGATGGGATATAATTTTACCTAATGAATGGGCACAAATATTTTGGATATCACTTGTTTATAGTGGTGCTAGACCAATTGGTCAAAAAGAACTTTCATTAATTGCACATGAAACTGGTAAATAAAATGAAAAGAAAAAAAAAACAAGAAGATATTTATCTATTCTTTTCAAAATCTTTTTTTCTAGGAGAATTTCAATTTCCACAAGAATATCCCGATACAGATGCAGGTATTGATTGGATATCAAAAATTGAATCTGAACAATTGACATATTTTTCTAAATGTCCACCTTCAAAACGTCCAAATTTTTTTCTTAATGGTATTACAAGTCCATTTCGTCCATTATGGTCAAATATTGTACATGATTGGGCAGTTGAATATGATTCATCAAATACTGTGATAAATTCTCGTCGATTTTATGTTTTACGTGATCGACATCGTCTTTCATTAGATAATCTTCGACAACATTTACATTCACTTGTACCAATTCGTATTAGTGTGAAAGGAAAAAAAGGTATTATTGATAATACAACATTAATTTATTTACCTACGATGGATGATTTGAAAGATAATAAAAAGACAATAGTAGAATCTCGACATTGTGATCGTGCTCGAATAGAAGAACGAAAAATGAAAAAAGCTAAACAATCATATCAAAAAGGTAAAACAATGGTTAAATTAATTGAACAACGAGCAAATAATAGTGAACAAGCAATTATTCATGATTGTGATAGAAAATTATTAGGTGCTATTACAAGTGGAGCATTTCAATTTTCGAAAGCATGTTGCACAGGAAAAGGTTTTATAGCTATGGGTGGTTTATTAACTCTTTTGCAACAACAACAACAACAACAACAGCAGAAGAAGAATGCGAAGAAACAATTTCAACGTGTGTTAATACGAACAATAAAATCGCAATATTATCGATGGGCATCATTAGAATTTTAATAGAGAAAATATTGTTTTCTGTAGTCAATTTTCTTTGATTTTTGTCTTCCATTTATAGTAAAATTTATGAATGTATCATTAACATGATAGAATATAAAACGAAAATAAATTATGATTATTTTCGATATGAATGTACCTCTTTGATCAATGAACTAAACATGGGTTTTCGTCCTTCAAGAAAGAATCCATATTTATTCGTTCGATTAAGTTGTTTATATTCAATATACAGGATAGCCCAAAAATAAGAAAATATAGAATTTTTTCAATTTCTTCTTTGTATATGGTTAGTTAGGTCTTATATTTACGCCATATATACTAGATGATACTAGTAAAAAATGTAGTATATCCGCAGTCTTTAGGTGAAATAATTTGTTCAAACGCGTTTAAATCAATCTTACTACTCGTCTGTGACTATAAACGAAATTCAATGTTTTTCGGTTTTCATAGTTTTATATGCTTATCTCGATCTGTGAAATGAATCCGATTTAATTACATTTTGTACTGATTTAGACTAAGAGAGGTCAAAATTAATTAAATGCAATTCATTTCACAGATTGGAGTAAGAAAACAAAACTATAGAAACCAAAGAACATCGAATTTCTCGTACAATCACATATGAACAGTAAGATATATTTGTACACTTTTGAACAAATTATTGCACTCAAAGACTGATCATATACTACATTTTTGATTAGTATCACCCAGTATATGTGGTATAAATATGAAGCCTAACTGACTATGTACAAAGAAGAAATCGAAAAAATTCTGTGTTTTCTTATTTTTGAGCCACCCTATATTTATCAGAAAAGAAAATAGTACGTCATTAAGTTTCTTCACTTTTATAAAATTTCAATATCATTTTATGCAACAAGTAGATATGACTGATACATATTTTTCGCTGATACAATTACACTACATATAAAGCGATGTAATAAGCAAGAGAATGAGATAAAGAATGAAAAATATTTTTATTTTATATATATAAAATATAATTATAAATCATACAAAATTTTTCGTCCATTGTTGTTGCCATCTAACATAATCACAAAGTATTTCATCTTTCTGAGAATTATTATTAAGAATATTATCAATTAAATTTTGAGCTTGATGAATATTATCCGTATGATTTCGATTACAATTGTTTATTATTGGTAATCGATGACGAAATGCAGCAGTATGAAGACGTGGTAATACATTACCGATACGTTTTGATGAGTAAACATTAGTTAGATGAGAAACAAGTGTATCTTCATAGGTTTTTAACATTGCTTCTTGGCCAATAGGTGTTAATGTTGATGACAATTGATAAAATGATTTGGGGTTTTTTTGTTTGATAGCATCAGATCTACGAGGAGTCTTTTCTGTAATAGTAGGAGTTGCATCTTGTTGTCGACGAGTTTGATCAATTACCTGAAAGATATATACATATATACATTAATAGAAAGAATTTAACGTAATCTACTATAAATTTCTTGTAATATGTTTAGCACTTTTCACATTTATTTTGATTTTTTGACGTGTTAGGAAATCTATCGAAGACTTATAGTTACGTCTGAATTTTGATAGAAAATTTAATCAGATCAAAGCTGTAAAGGTATGGTTCTCGTCGAATACTTCTAGTATAAGAGATTCAGAAAGGACTATACAAAAAACATTAAAATTTTAAAATTTAACAGAGATGATATTACACAGTATCTGAAGTTAGAGAACATTGGTTAGTATCTTCGAATTCATATTTTTTCAAATGAGGGAAGTTAAGCAGAGACTGATGATTATAATTGCTATTGAATAGCACAAAATGATGGTTATTTATCAAGAAAGTCCTATGAAAAAATATAGGAGCATTACATAATGAAGAGAAATCTATATTTTCGATTTTATATCTCGTAGACGAGTATGTACTCATATTTGTCTAATACTATACCAAATTAGATCATCATAGTATGAAAAAATATGTAAAAACCTTGAGAGCTCGAAGATAAGGAATGTCGAGTTCATTCGATTTATTCTTTGGAGGTAAGACAAATCGTTGCTTTCGACCACGAGCATTTGTTGTCGTCGTTGCTCTTACAGCCATTGGCAGTGTCTTGAGTTTTTTTTCTTTGTTTGCTTTTCTTAAGAAATTGATTGTATACTATTGAAAGAAGTGTTAAAGGAAAACACAAATTGGTTTCATTAGTTGACGAACGAGAAGAACAAAGAAAAAGAAGAAAAATTCATTTTATCTATAAACAAAACAAAACAAACGGTCGAACAATGTTAAAGAAAATGCTTTCAAATAACAAAAAAGAACAAAGAAGCAGTTTATTGATGAGTGTCAAAGAGATTTTTCTAACTAAATTAAAAGCATACATTTGGCATAGAGTTTATTTTTCTCACTTTAAATTTATGTTAAGTAATTGTCAATTTTGGACTTTTCAACAATTTATCGTATTTGATTTCGTAGTGTTTACTGTCATGAATAACGCTATCTACAATTTCAGCATTCATTTCTTACAATAATCCTATTGTGACATTTAATTCTAATTTATTTTTTGTCACAGTGCATTGAAAATGTGGTGGATTCTTTTTTGCAGTGTCTTACCAGATATATGACTTCTCCTGCTTATGAAATTCATTGATACAACGCCACCTCCCGTTTTTGAAAATTGCCCACGCAGTGCACCTTTTTCTGAGACTCAACCATTCTGTACTCGCTTGTCTATAGTGTTGAGTTATGTTTCTGTGTATTACAATAATTTTTGAGCACAAAGAAGCCCATTTTTTTTGACTAAAGTGACATGTTTATTTACTATACAAATAATGCACTATACGACTAACCGATGCGTTGTGACGTTCAAATGTTTCTTTGAGCTGCACCTTCATAATTAAATATTCATTCCTTCTATTGTTCTTATTCTGCTTATGTTTTTATTAATGTAGAGCATAAATAAGCATAAATTAGGCGTTGCACGCCTTATTTGACTACTTATAATGAATTCTATCCATCGAGCTCACACACAAGATTTTGAAGGATACGGGTGTACGTCTTCTCTTCATTCACACCATTGCAAGTCCAAACATAACGTTAAATCAATAATTTAAAAAAAAAATTGCATTGAACTTCAGTTTATATGATTATCCACACTCATCGGTAAAGTTTTAAGGGATTAACTGTTGAATACAAAGTCAAGTTATTTTTAAAAAGTAAAATTCAATTACTATTTATTTGTGTTTCAAAGTTTTGATCAGATGTAAAAGAGAAAAAGTAAATTGATCCAGTAGAAAATAGTCAGAATAATTATTTGTATAATTTTATTACATTAGATAGCTCTTTTTATCATGGCATTGTTTTGTTAGACGATGCTGAGAATTATAAAGAAATTTCAATACTAATTTGGATTTGACATGAATAAAACTATTAAGAGATATACTGAAAATTTATATTAACCCAACTATGAATCAACAAAGTGTAGATTTATCCAAGACATTAGTGTCTTTGTTAAAAGCAATTAGTTTTACTAAAAAAAAAAATAAAGGATGATTCGATTTTGAAACAGTTTACATGGTTTACTATGCCGAATTTAAAAGTCGTATTTTGTTCACCAAAAATACTTTATAATTGTTCTTAACATTATTTAAATAACAGACATCATAAACAACTTTAATGTAATCAAGAAACGAAGACTATCATCTATAAATGTTAGTTAAGAAGACAACAATAATAGAAATGTGTTTAAAAGGATAGCTGAACTAGCAATATCCAACATGTTGCTTGAAAACAACTCAATGTCTAAACAATCTTCATCTTCGTTCGTATTTTGTCAGATAGTAAATACATATGTAATTAATCACTTATTGCTTCGTTAAAATAATGTTCCTTTCTTAAATTAATTGTTGTCAACCGTGAACCTATTCGCTGTTACTCAATTAGATATGTATTGCATATGTTTGATGTGCATTAAATTCGAACACGTTTATTTTTCTGTTTTTTTGTTGCTGTTAAACGTCAATAAGAATCTAAACCATGATGAGTATCAAAGATGTGTACCGTCGATTAACAAGACTGAATGATGTCCACCTCCACCCCTATCAACTCATTTTTAAGACACGATGTACATCTCTAGTGAGTACTTGTACTTAATTCCTTCTAGATTTATATCGAGCCCCTCTCAGAAAGATTTAAGTATCTTAGTCTTGCAATCTTCGTCAAGTTATGTATGAATCAGAAACTGAAATGAATAAGAAAATCTCGATTCGGATTCGATTCATCCCGAAAAGTAAGACTATTCCTTTATTGTTATCAATAAAATGCATCTGTATCCCGCATAAAATTTCATTTGAGTTTTCCTGTGTCTATATGCTTAATCTATCAATTTAGAAAAATTCTGAAGCTTCAGAGGGGAGCTATGGTGTTAACTACGACTTGAGTATATAAAAAGATATAGTTTTTTTTTATCAATCGGTGGAGGCACTAGTTTCTGAATTCCCATAACTAACGCTGATATCATTATCTTCTTCTTGAAGAAAGACACTCATATTAGGAGAAGGAGGAAACTAATTTCTATTTTCAGTCGAACTCTATCTTAATTTTCTGATATGCACTGCAGTTAACAATTCTACATTCATTTATAACTGTACTGCTGATCATGCAATCGAAGCAGCAAACACGTCCACCATAACAATAATAGAACTCCATCCATGTATTGACTAAAAGAATGCAAAACATCGACAGCCTGCTCAGCAGTTCTAAATACGACATAAAACTAGAAAATCCTACCAGGTATGTGCAAAGAGAAGTAGTCATGAGAACAGCTACATATGTAACTGTTCTCTCTAAAATTATAAATCTTTGAATAAATCAATAGAAACTGACTTTTTTTTAATGGAAATACAAGCAGTTGTTGAACTACTAGTAGACTTCTCATGCTAAGAGATTGATGCAGTTTGCAAAAGTCCAAACCACAGAGAACATGAAATCCATACTAAAATAAATTTTATTACTCGTATTTGAGAGTTAATAAAATGATTCTTGTTGAGTTGAATAACGTCTACACCTATATCCATCGTATACTTGTAAGCTCTCAAAATTCCAAAGAACAAAATCTTTGTCTCATCTAGAATTGTTATCAGTCTTGTAAGAAGTTTAATATCGATCAGATAATCGTGACGCCATTCGACCTGACCTCGAGGTCAAACATTTTTTTTTATTTGATCTGATTCAATGTGGACTTTAATCAACTATATATAGGTGATTGTAGGAACAGCACATGTATTGAGAGTACCTATAGTCTTTTAAAGATAAATCATTTATTTTCTTTTTTGTGATGTTAAAATTTCCTAACAGAATAGAACTAGAATAATTTTACGTTTTTCTCGAGCCTTACAATTACAAAAACACATAAAGACCCACAAAATAACAAAAACAATAAAAAGTCAAGTTTTTTTTGTTATGCTCTTGACGAAGAAGAATCATTGGCTAGATGTTGTCGATGTAGTTCTTCACATTTTATTTTAAGTTTATATAATTCATCTTGAATTATATCAGTTACTGCTTTACGTATTTCTTCCTGAAAAATAAAAGAAAGATACGATTAATTGAAATTAATAATATGAAATATTGATTATTTCATACCAATGATCGATTTTCTTTTTTCATTTTTTGTACAAGTCCATCGAAGATTAATGGTTTACCAACATAAATGCTCACTTTTTCCCCTATGTGAGGAATATAAGGCTCTTGATTGGGCAATACTGAATCCATTCCTGATAATGGAACACTTTTATGATTACATAATATCTTGAAAATATTCTTACCGAGATGATAAAATGGAACAACCAATGGACAAATATCAGCTTCGGCAATAAGTCGGCCAACACCTAGAAAATAATATTATGTTTTATAAGAAAAGATTGATTTTATTTTAAAATTTACCCCACTTAAGTCTTATGGGTTCTTTCGTTAAATTAACTTTTCCTGAAAGGTAAATTCAAAATGAATCATAGAAAAATGTCTTTTGCATAAAAGATATATACCTTCAGGAAAGATATGCATCCATCCACCTTGATTAACTTGTTCGAGAGCAAAATCCATAGGTCGTTGATAAACACCATCACCTCGTGTCACTGGTATTGTTTTACCCAAACTGAAAAACATTTGATGCTTTCTCATTGTAAATACAATATCATCAGCACCTAAAGACCAACGCATTCGACGACGATTCCAAAAAACACGAAGTGGCATTGTAGCTCCTATAGAAATATACAAATTCATCAAAAAAAAACCCAAAAATGATAAAATAGAACTATTAATGAAAAACGACCGAGAAGAAAGAAACTACCGTTTTATATACCGAACAATAATGGATCATCCATACCTATTCGGACAAACAGAAAACGCCTTAGAGTGTCAATAAAAATTTACATAATCTTACACGAATGATGATTAGCTACGGTAATTAATGGTCGGTCTGGATCTCGATTTAGTACAGCATTGCGAAGAATTTCACCTTTTTAAAATAACATAATAATCAATGTTATGTCAAATAGCTAACTATTCTTACCATTTTCAATTCGTAATGAAGTTGCACATTCTATAAAATGAATACATATTCTATATGTTTGGATTAATTTATTTTATTTCCTCACTCACTCATCCAAAATTTGCTAAATGATCCAACAAGGCCAATCGTTAAAGTCGAAATTGCCTTATAAAATATTGATGGTCTTTCTGGAAATGGCCAATCAAACGAAAGCGGCATAATCTGAAAGATTTCTAGTATTTGAATTTTCATATGCCTGTTATTTATCATGCACAATTGACTAAGATCTTTAAATTCTACGTTTTTTTTCTTATATTATACATATACATATATATTTATACATAATATTCAAGCAATAGAAACACAAACAGTTAAAAATTTACTACACAAAAAGCAAAATAATATAGAAAATTAAAACAAAAGTAAATATTGATTGGCTTTGACGTTTCACTACTATACCATTGAGAGACACAATATTACACACAAACAATAAGCTAATTTTTGTAAATAGAATTAAAATTTTAATTTATCACAAGAAATATCATTGTTCATATTTATCTTTACAGATCTTTATCACCAGTAAGTGTTTCTTTTACTTATTTTCCAGTATTCACAACATTCTCTTTGACAGCATCAATCGTATCAGTTATTGATTCTTTCAATGATTTAAATGAGAGAAGAATATTTGCACGATGTTGGAATTCTTTTTTTTTTTCATTAGTGATCTTAAATAAAATAATTCATTATGAAAATAATATATTGAATAGAAAATTTAAAAAAAAAGCAAACTCTCAGGCTTGAGATGTTGAGCTCATTGAGAAATGATATCTTGATCTATTTATCGTCATTCATCATTATAAATATATATCAAAACAATAACATATTAATTATTCTAAACAGAATAAATCGATATTTAAAGGCTAACCATGTCGAGATATTCAACGAATAAAGAATTTAATATGCGCTTATAATGATATATATTCATAGTAAAAAATTTCGATAAAAGGTAAGAATATTCCCTCAGCATTAGCATGGCGAGTATCATCATTGAGTTTGCATGGAAATTTCTTTTGTTTTTCTATTATTTACCTTTTCTTGGAGAAGATTTTGGACACGTCGTCTTTCCCGTTTAAGAAATTCGGTACCCTGTTTAATGATTGATTCCATGATTTTTACGTATGATTCACCACTAAAAAAAGAAAAAAAGTACATAACATATTTAATAAACAATGTAAATTAATTCAAACCTTTTTTTTTCTTTCTCATTGACTAATCGTTTGACTTGTTCACGTGCTTTTTCTAATAATGACATTTGGGTATTTACATCATTATTTGATGATGCATAAAAATATTCTTGAGCTAGATGATCCAATTCTTCGATTGTACCAGGTAAACCAAACCAAAGATCTAATTAGAATAATGCTTTTTAATATATAATAAGAATAACAATAGATTTATTTTTCTTTACTTGTATGTTGTGAAAGAAAGCGTTTCAGATCATCTTCAGTTTTATCACCGGTATAATCGATTGGTTTAGATTTGTCTTTAAGAAATAACTTATATACAGGATAATCTACTTTTTTAACATCATATTCTTTAGCTAATTGTTGATTTTCTTTATCACCATATTCTGTTATTGGAATTTCAACAACAAGAAGATTTTTTGTATTAACAACATTTTCAGCAAATTTTTTAAATTGGTCGTATTTGTCACCAAAAGCTAAAATAAAAAATTAACAATAAATGCAATAAAAAAAACCAAGATCATCTTTTAAATACATACGATATTTATCATCGAATTTAGCTAGAACAACATTAAAATTTTCTCGAATCTTATCAAATGTAAATGTATCAACAGTTACTGTGCCTGGTGTATGAGCTTTACTTGATAACATTAATAAAAAGAAAACAGTAACAAAAACCAGATACATGTTTATATCACGAGAATTTTTAAATAATTTATAATGGTAATAGAAGAATGAAACAAAGAAAATGAAGAAGGACCAATGTATATATATGTGTTTGTTCTATATGGTAGAACATAAATAACCAATGAGAGATTGACGCGCTTGGATAGCTCATTGATAGTAGTGACAACAATTTGTTATAAAGACTTCGGAAAGAAAAAAGTATGTAAAATTTTTATATATTCATTTGCACTTCGTTGAAGCTACCTGGATAACCAATCCAATTATTCTCATTCTACCACCAATAGTGACGCGAGCACAAAATACCGAAAGTCATCCACGGAATATCAACATATACTCTCTAACAACTATCACAAAACGGATACCACTGTACTTAATACTACCAACAACACCACTAAAACATAATTTTTCTAGCTACATAAAGCCATTAGATGGCGCAGCTCGTTCCACTGGAGGAATAAACGATGTTCAAACCTTCACTCACACTGTCTGCACCCCATAAAAACTGATACATATCAAAGTATTACTAATACCAATATCATCACTAAAAAAAAAATTTATGCTAACTTCTAAATAGCATCAATCGATGCAGCCAGTTCAGTTGTTGAGGAAAATGATGTTCGCAGCTTTAAAGATCCCATCTGGATCCCTGAAGAATCTATTTTCCTGAATATATGAAGGAATTGATTATATGTGTGCTGGTCATGCTTAGTTCAACCTTGGCTAAGTGGGTTGATGCCAACCGACGAAAGTTTGGATATTTGAAAGGTAAGTGATTATTTCGAGCGAAGTTTTTTTCTGAAATTGATGTTCCTGTCGCGTAGCTCTAGAGATATGCTCAATGTTCTGTTGTTTTTTGGGTGCTGAAGGTTATCATTATAAGATAGAAAGAGGTTTTTTGGTATTTTGAAAAGATATTTGCAGTAAATGACGAAATGTGCGAAAGGTCGAAATAGTGATGAGAATAGTGAACATGTTCAATCGGGTTGATTTGATAAAATTATAGTGTTGATTTTGGTTGTGGTAACTGTACGGCAAATTGTACGCGGATATTTTTAATATTCATTTTAGTGATTGGTGGGTATTTTATTGAAGTGATTTACTCTTCAGTTGCCTTTAAAGTATTCCAATTTTTGCTGGATGGCATCACCACACATTGCCAAGATTGAACTAGACATGACTAGCGCACACATAATCAACTCTTTCATATATTCAGGAAAACAGATTCCTCAGGAACCCAGACTAGATCTTCAAGGGTGTGACAAGAAATTATCCATTGTTACGTTCCTGTTAGAACCACACATTGGTTTCATCAACTCTAAAACCACATTGGCACCTATCTCTTTTTGTCTTTCCTGGCCAGAATGCTGTCCAATATAAGGAATTGCATCGGATACATAGCAAAAATCGGTATCGACACACATTCAAAACTTTATTCCGTAGGTATCGGACTTTTTTGGCATATATTGACGAAAAGAACATTTTCCTCGAAACTCCATCAAATGCTCATCAATGGTAACATTAAGACCCGGTAAATAACATTTTGTTAAGTTGCATCGGAAATCTGACCAGATTCCATGAATTGCCACAAATTTATCTGTTGGCTTTCTTTCGTTTCTTGCTGCTTTATCATCGAATCTTAGACAGGAAGCAATCATTTGAAACCGATTGCGAGACATGGTAGCCCTAAATATTGGAGACTTCAGTGAATTCATGGTCCATAAGGATTTTATGCTTTTTCTTAATTTTCCTAATAAACCGGCTAGTATTAAAAGCCCAATAAAACCTTTCAATTCAATCATTGTTATTTCTTCAAATTTCTCATCAGAAGTGCTGTTTTCGTTTCCGTAAATATTTGTATACAGTAAAATTTTCTTTAACATTTCCTCCAATATAAAGCACAGAAATGAATCTTCAACAGAGGCTACACTCTTGGTAATTTCTATGGGTTTAGATGTTTCAATTATATTAATACAAAGCTTTGTATTTGGTGAATAAGACGGAGTAGAAGATCAAATCATATCGGATCTGGAACTATATGAACTTTTGTTGAGTATATTTGCCATTCAAATTCATTTCTTTTAAATCAATCTCTTCTTCATCTTCTGATGTATGACTATCAGCATTTTCTGTTTCTGAGTCATTTTCTGTGAAGAGAAGACTATCTTCATCATTGACATCTTCAAACGAGCTGTCCTCCATAACCGTATGTTTTGATATTGCTGGAAAGTAGTGATATTATCGCTTTATTTGTAACCTTTATCTCTGAAAAAAAATCACCATATGCAAATGCGTATTTTCCAATAAGTTACTTACTTGCAACTGACAATTAGATAGAAATTGAACAGAATGAATGTTATAAGAACAAGGGCGAGTTTATATACTAGAGATCCAGGGGAAATAATAACCTTCTCGAAGGTTCTGGACAAGAATATTGAACATAGACCAGACATGACATCATGTACAAAAAGAATGCAAGAGAGAAAGGATATGCATGAGATGTAAAGTAAACAGGAAAGGAAAAAAAAGAGAAATGTATTAGAAGAGATCAAAATGAAATAGTGAAAATAGACGCGTGTTATTGATGAATATCAATAGAACGCAAGAGAAGAAAGGTGTATGATTGTTATATGGTACTGCTCATGATGACGCTGTGATAATAACGATACCAAAAGAGAAAACATTCTCATGATCTGATTGAAAGAGATATATTTAGAAATAGTAAAAATACCGAGATATTTTTGTTGAATGTCTATTTCCTATCCTGGGGTCCAGATGGGCCCTGCTTGGGTATCCGAGGGTTAATAAAGCACATGTTGAATCAACTCATAGGAATCCTTAATTTCTTTAGAAAAATCTCGTCGGCATTTTAGCTATGATTACATCAATTTATTTCGGTATATAATCATGAAGACAATGAATTGTGGATTAATCAGAGGTAGGATATCTTAGGTGAGGATTCAAATATCGCCTCCATAGACTCTCTATGAAGTCAACTCCAACTTAATTTGCTCACATTCCAAATAGAACTTGAAGAGCTCTATCGACCTTAGGGATAACTTTTCCAGAACAATTCCTTCATCCCACAGAAAAACACAAAATATTGCAAAAAAAAACATCCGGAAAATGCGAATATTCTCGTACAACCTGTCACAATTGGCCCATGAGTGTCTTTCAAAAAGAAAAAATAAATGATGGTTCTAGATAGAACTCGACAAACTCTATCGAGTCGTAAGGATGTGGATCTGTGCACGGGCGCGGAGATGAAGGTGGGTATGTTTGGTAGATCTTCTATTAGCCCTTACACCGATACATATACCCTTACTCACTTCAGCTTGTAGAATCATTTATTCACTAATATGAAGCTGATCTGATGTCAAACTGGAATTGTCAACGCAGGCTTTCATTGTCAGAACAATAAACAACAGGTACCGTCAAGTACTGATGATGATGATGAAACAATCGTTCATTGACTCAAGAGTCTCTTATATGTCGAATACAGACACAGTCGAGCGCAGTTATACAACCGTTCATGCGCTATTCTGAATGACTTCGTCTTTGCTCAACCTCATTCTTCTAGTGGTTACTCATAGTCTTCTTCATCCTTTGAGAAACGAAGGAATATTGAGTCAATCTGAATTGAGTCTCCTTACCGTCACTTCGAATGCGTCAATTGGTGTATCGCGAAGTTCATCAGAACAAAATCACTGTGACATTCTTCGATATTAAGCAATCGTCCAGAGACATTCATTATGAATTGCAGTGAAAAAATTGTTTTCGTGAATGAAGAAGATTTTTGTTGATTGAATGCTAAGCTGCATCGGCAAGACCATTGATGTGCTGCAAACTATAAGAATGTGTGAGTGGGGATGAAAAGAAGATCGATAACAACAATATCATCCTCAAACAGTTTGTTTCTAACTAGTGTAAAGAAATGTAAATAAATTTGATTCTTCTTTTCGTTACAATAACCACGTAAGGGCATTTTTAATACGTCAGAATATCAATATTAACACAGAAGCAAGCTTTTCTCTTCCAGGTATGACAGAAGGACTTTCTAAAGAACACAAGAAACGACTTCTTATTTTTGTTTCATGAGAAGATGTAAGTGTGATAGAACGTGTCAGATAATGCGCGACGTTATCTCTCAATTCAATTTTGATATCTGGCGAAGAAAGTAAATGACCTTAGTCACATAAAAAGTCGCATGGATTCTGTTAGCTACATTATCGGCGATAGTAGTATGAGTGTAAGCGAACAAATTTCTTTTTTTGACATTCCACGTAAATTCGAACAAATTCATAGATTGATCAAGTCAATATTACGACAATGCAACCATCCTCTACAACAAAACCAATATCACTCGATGGTGTTATGCGACTATGTGGTGATCTTGGCCGATTCCAACTCATACACTTTTTCTTTTTAAATCTTGTGTCGATGAGTGCTGGTATTGTTGCTTTCTATTATGTATTTGGAGCAGCAGACCCTGAGCATCGATGTCAATTGCCACCGTCCGTATGGCCCAACGATGTACATTATTGGCCGATAAATCAAACGCATGAGTTCTATATTAATGCCTATATTCCAAAAGGTACAGATGGAAAATGGAACAAATGTATGCGCTATACAACGAACAAACAGAATTCAACATTGATCAATTGTCCGAATGGTTGGGCATACGATCGATCTGTCTTTGGTTACACATTTACTGAAGAAGCTAATCTTGTTTGTCACAGTGAGCCAAAGAAAAGCTGGTTGTCTACGTTGATGCAAACAGGTGGCTTCTCACTGATTATAATCGGTTCTTTAGGTGACAAGTTCGGACGAAGGAAGACAACAATTGTGACGACTGTTCTTCTGTTTGTAATGTGTCTCTTAACACAAATCCCTATGCAATGGATACCAATGACAGTGAATATCAAGTAAGTTGACTAATTCAGGTATTTATAGGGAAAACAATCATGAGTCTTCGTTGTTTTCTTGTTTTGACCTATCGATCTTGATATTTGGCATTTTTACAGTTAAATATACCATTAAAATGTTCATCAGTATCACGATATGTAACATTTTGTTTTACAGTACACATCTAAAAAATTGGACAAACTAATTTGAAGTAGAATGTAATTTTAATAGCTACGAAAAAGAAAATATTTACCGAAAAATCTTCGTGCAAAGCAATAAATCAGTTATTCCTAGCATAGTATTCAAACGATTTCAAATACGTAAAATCAATATACTCTATCTTTTAAGTCTATTAAATCGAGAAATAATCGAGCCACGAACTCCATATATAATTAAAGCAAATTGATTGATATCAAATACAATGGTGCATTTTTTTTCGATATGCTTAAATAATATAATTTGAATATATTGATAGGTTCGGCCTATTGCTTCTCAATCAACTAGTATCGGGTCTCACCGTTTCCACTTATAGTACTGTTTTTATTCTCATGCTCGAATTAACATCAGCGGCTCACACAAGTCTCGTCGGAAATGTAGCACTTGTCGCTTTTACAGTTGGTGAAGCAATTATTACTCTTTTTGCCTACCTTACTTTCGATTGGCAAATGCTCAAATGGGCTAATACTATTTTTATTGGGCTAACCTTGCCTTATCTCTGTTTTATGCCCGAAACACCACTTTATCTCTATGCCCAACGACAATATACTGAGCTCGAAGCACTTTTACGTCGCATTGCGACGCAAAATAGACGAGCTGAAGTCGAATGGTATCCATCGTATCAAGAATTCTTACGTAGTCAATCGATTGCACAAGTTCATGATAAAGAGAAAATGCCTTTTCTCAAACAAATTCGCCAACTTCTTTCACATAGACCGAGCATCATCAAACTATTTATTATAGATGTTATTGGTTTCACAACATATCTTCTTTATTATGAGATAAGTTATGGTCTTGAAGTCATAAATATATCTCCATACCTTGGAGTTCTCATCGGAGCCGTCGTCGAAGCTTTGGGTTACATATCTAGTTCTTTACTTATGGTAACAAGACTAGGTCGTAAAGGTACATTTGTCATTATGTTAGCTCTTACAGCAGTTTGCGTTCTCATCATACCATTCATTAATAAACATAGTGCACTAGCCACTGTGTTGCTTGCTCAATTTGGTAAATATGCCATATCGGGTGCAATATCTGCCTCTTGGATATTCGTGCCTGAACTCTTTCAGACTTCTATTCGAAGTAGTGTAAATGGACTTTTCATTACTTTTAGCCATATTGGAGCTATTATTGCACCAGTTATTGATACTTCCGTGAGCGATGAATATTTACCAATAACATACTATGTGTCATCGGCTCTAGCTGTTGTCGTTCTTTTGTTAACCATGCTCTTGCCAGAAACAAGAGATAAAACAATGGATGATTGAATAAGATTATCTGCATACAGAAACTCAAACGTGATTCTATCTATTACTTTTACTAATCATACGTTTGTCTCGCAAATCAACAATAAAATAGGCCGAGAAATAAGTAGATTCATAGTGGCTTATTGCTTCTTAAAGTATAGCTCAATGAGAAACGACCCAGCACACACAACATCCCACATCATCTCGTTCTCATTTTTCATAAGAAATGCAACTATGAAAAAATTTTCAACTATCAATTGCATTGAAGTTACATATCGATGGAAGACCAAGTCATAGTGCAACGCAGACATTAGCGTGAAACGTTAACAGGATATCCGAGTCCATCTCTAATGCAAGGATCATTCTACGATATAGAGTACCATCTTATTTTCTGTTGATTTTATTTGTTTAAGTAATAGATAACAAAATGGGTCAATATTTTGTTCTTCACTTCTGTTATTTTCTCTTAACTTTCTATTGATTAACTTGCATAAAAAGGACTCACGAGGGAACATTCTCAGGTGTCGGAACGCCTTTCAGTTGAGATTTCACGCATCTTGTACCCCTTAGTGAGGTGTATCTATAATAAAAAAAAGTTCGAATTTCTGGCTTGTTTCTGAGTAAATAGAACGTTTTTACTATTACACCTATAATGGTCATCTTATCAGGAAAAAAGCACTATGTCAACCAATGCAAGTTGAAACGAGCTGAGATTTTTCTCATATATAGTTGTGCTCATGTGGCAGATATTGTGAAAGTCTGAGCTCAAACAATTTTGGAAAGATCGATTTATCAGTTTTACAAAATATTGACGTCGTTCTATATGTCATTAATTATGTTATTTTGTACAATTGCAAGATAATTGTAGTTTTTCACGATAATATATTTATTTTTAGTTCTATCCTAATGATAACAACATGTATCGGTAGCATTATGTACCGAAAAAAATCACGATATATGTAACTTATCATATAAGCACCGTTGCAGTCAACAGGATGGAAGTAAAAATAAATATATTATCGTGGAAAGCTATAATTATCTTGTAATTCTACGAAATAGAATAATTAATGACATATGGAACGACGTCAATATTTTGTAAAACTGATAAATCAATCTTCCAAAGATTGTTTGAGCTCAGACTTTCACATTATGTTCCACATGAGCACAACTATATGTGAGAAAAATCTCAGCTCGTTTCAACTTGCATTGGTTGACAAAGTGCTTTTTTTCCTGATAAGATGAGCATTATAGGTGTAGCAGTAAAAGCGTTGTATCCCCTCAGAAATAAGCCAGAAACACGAACTTTTTTTTACCATAGACAAAGCTCACTAAGGGATACATGATGCGCGAAACCTTGATTGAAAAGCGTTCTGGCACTTGGGAATGTTCCTTCGTCAGGCGAATAGAAGTGGATCCAACATCTGTTAATTATGATTAGTGATGTTTGTTTTTCTTCTCTTTTGAGGGTGGGAATATGGGGTGACTGTGAGGATCTTTCCTTCATCCTCATGCATCCACACATATACGTACACCAACTTCCACACACTGCACCCTTATTCTTCATTTTTAATATTGTTCATCCAAAGTACAACTTGATCAGCCTTGAGCACTTTCTCCGTATCAATTTTCAAAACAAACAAAGGTACTCGATCGAACGTATTACTTCTTTATAAATAATATGTTTTTGAAATCTATGTCAAATAATACAATCTCTAAGTAAATATATTTGTTGTCATTCAATGTTAATCCTATCAACCAATCCTACCATATCTCCACTTTTAATCGAATATTTTTTCCTTCAAAGTTTCTGTCGTACGTTGTTCAGTCTTTGTTCCAGTAGTATTCATTTTGAGACTGGCTGTGGTGAGTGTATGTGTCAAAGGTGCAGATGAAAATAAGAGAAATGAAAAGCGAAACATGTTTACCAGATCATTTCGTAAACGACTAGCCAGGTGTTTGGCTCTTCTGTCTTCAATCACATTAGATTATAGGTCGATTGCAGCGAGCAACTGTATAAAAAAAAGTGCACGCAAGAATGAGAGGATTGACGATAAAAAGATCACTGTGTTAATTCGTAAAGAAACAATCAGAGAGTGGAGCGCTTCTTCTCCAAACAAATTACGTCCAAGATTGAGTGTGAATAGAACCTATTCGAAAATATGCAAATGGATATGCGAGAAATAAGTAAAGAAAGAAATTCACCGCTTTGTTTCGTAAGGCATTAGCAAGATATTGAATTCCACTATCTCCAATGTCATTCCAAAAGCGGACGAGCATGACTAAGTCTGTGTGACAAAATGCAGGTAGAAAGGAGATAGATGCATAGAGAAAAAAATTCATTGAGTTATTTCGTGAAACAACAGCAAGAATGGGTTTCCTTTATTCTCGAATTCATTGTGGTCAAACTTGCGCATGGTCAGCGTCTCCGTCAAAAAGCCACAGTATCAGTAAGAGGCATCAACAGACAACGAGGTTCACTGTATTATTTCGTTAAATATCAGGCAGATGTTGAGTTCTTTCATCATCGATTTCATTCAATCTGAGGCCGGGTACGAAGAACGTCTGTGTAAAAAACTGAAAATGGAGCTGACAGAAGTGAAGAGAGAGCGTAGTTCACCATGTTACTTCGTGGAGCATCACGCATATACTTATCAGCTACTCCAACAGTGAATACTATCACACATAGAAGATCTTAGTGACTAATTGCGTAAATCTGATTTTACTTCACTATATCTGATTTTCTTGGTTTGAAATTGAAACATCAATGGCATATAGATCATAAATGAGTTGAAATTTTCATATTTGACCTACTACTAGCTAGTGAGTTTGATCGATCTTGATCTTCACTCATCTTTTCTGTCTTTTCAAAGCAATTCGTAGATCTACCATATTTGATGTCCGGACAGGACAGACAATGCATAGAGAATGCTGCCCGTTTGAACCATCTGGCAGCTAATCACTACTCATGTTCTCAGAATTAAAATACTACTGTTCTATTTATTCTAAAACGACATTTTCTCCTGTTAATTTAGCACAATCAATCTATATCAATGATTACAATAAGCTTGTGAAGAATGAGAAAGATTAAGACGACGAGCTATACAAAGATGGTCGTGCTACAAAATCTGGTGCTCGTGTAAGACCGCCGCCTGCTGCTCCATACTGCACATGAATTCTGGGAAACGGTTCAATCCAAGAAATCTGTCCATAACGACTGACTTGTCGATTGCAACCATGAACAACAAGTGGTTCAACTCGACACAATTCACCCAATGTTTTTCGTACGGCGGAGACTAGACCGACAGCAATCGTTCCATCATAGTTGGCTGCATTTTCATCAGAGACATTTGGTGTAATACATGCGCCTGCAGTGAATCGCATCAAATATAAATCATATGTCTTTCCATGAGAATCTTTCACTTGCACAGGATTTTCGGATAATTTTGTTGCATGATTTGTTCCACCACAAACTAAAACAGGTGGAAGTCGATATTCCGAGGGTACGTAAACGTGTGCCAGTACGGACACTCCTCGAGCGGCAATAACATCGAATAAAGGCTTATTATTTTTGTTAATAATCGACTGGCTACCCAGCGATAGAATTAATCGGGAAAATGCGAGATAATGTTTTTGACCATCATGTGTACCATATTCAGCGATACCTCCTGACTTCTGATCGTCAACATAGATGGTAGTGAGTGTTCCATCAATAACCTTGCCTCCTTGATTTCGAATAGCATCATTAAGTATTTTCATAAAGTTTGCAAATAAGACTCTATCATGATGCTTTTCGCCATACATCAGACCATCAGGAAGAAAACCATAACGACTAAGCATTTCTTCCTTGGATAAAATTCTCAAATTTCTTCCTTCATTTACTAAAGCTGTTTGCAACTCTTGTAGTTGTGAAACTTCTTCACTAGTTCGAGCGACGATAATCGATCCTTTTTCACGCAATAGAAGTTTACCATCTAATTCCTGATTTAGTTGTTCGAAAAATTTCTCATTTGCAATACATTGTGCAGCAACATTTTTTAACATTGCCGTTCGATCTTCGAACATGGTCACCCATTGAAAGATTAATGATATTTTCAATCCGCTAAACCAATGATCAGGGTGTTTTAGCCAACCGATCCAGTCTAACGTTCTCCATGGAAAGTGACCAGTTTGTTGAATCGATGCGTAACTCGCATATCGACATGTTGCACGAACGAGTTGTTCTATTAAGAATTTCGTAGGCAGATAAGCAGTCGGTGCCTCTGTTTCTGCATCTTGTTCCAGATGCCAAGCAGAACCAAAAGCAATCGGTATTTGACGTTGGTCATTGATGTAAGTTAAATCTTTTTCCGTCTTCACCATAGAGATACCAGTGATTAATGCTGGTGGACCACCAACAATCAATGTTTTCTGATTACCAAAAGATGATTGAAATTGAATAGGACATTCTGTGAGAGATCGAATCTTGACAGGAGTCTTTAAAGCATATTTTTGTTTCATGATCTCACTATCCGTATAAAATAGATAGGAGAATTGTGAAAAATGTTTCTGAAATAGTTCTACTTCATGTAAATCGGTAGTAATGAATGGATCATGCATTCCGGATAACATATGTCTTTTTTGTTGTTGACGTGTATGATTTGAAAATGCATCATGCACTTGAATATTGTCATTATAACGCGATGCAGCATGGATGACGGTAACAGTAGTGACACCAAATAAACTTAAATAGCCTAATGATCGACGCCATGATTGACGAATACGATGAAAACTTGACATGATTTTGTTTTACTGAAACTATTCGAAAAGAGAAAAAATCGATAGAAATAATCCTTAAAAATCTCGTAATGTAGAGGAAAGATCATATTAATTCTGTGAGATTGATCACAATATTACATATCATGCAAACTTCGGTAGAGTTGTAACTTTCTCTTATATCTCGGAAAACGAATCTATCTCTTTCACATTCAATAGACTGTCTATATCTAGTAAAATGATCCCAGAATTAACAATATTCTATTCAATCTGTTCTCAATTGTAAAAGTAGTTTGTTATTGATAAAAGAAATGACTCCTCTTATCTTAAAACAGATTGAAAAATGAGACACTCGCAGTGCCTCTTTTTCACCACTAAAGGCAGTCGGTGGTGTGCTGGAGACAAGGAGAGAAAGTTATTGGGAGATAGTTCTGTTGATTTTGTTCTCCTTTCCTTCGTAACCAGATGAAAAAGAAGCGTTTAATATTGACACAACTTCAATGGGACAGGGACCAGCAGGTAAGTTCGCATCGACAAATAATATGTTAGGCCTAAATATTGTCGGAACGATGAATAAATATTTCTTTTCATTTTCTGACAATTTGGACCAACCTTACATGTCTTTAGTTGCCAGAGATACTCCGACAGTGTTCACGAGTGTCAAGTGGATAGGTGTGGGTATGAGTGAGTGATATTCTGAGAAAAGCAGACAACCACCCACCCACATCTACATCCTCAAGTCTAACATCATAGTTTGAAAATTTGACTTAAAAATCAAAACACAGATCGATAGTTTAATATGTTTATCCCAGCCAATCAATAAATCTATGCTTATAATCAAGGAATATCATCACACCAAACAGTATAGATTCAATTCTGCCACGAAAAATTTATTACCAAATTGAAACACTCATCTCACACGATTTTGGAAAGTGTCATAAACAGAATGAAACACTAAAATTATAACAATATCTTGAAAGAATGGCACGATTGATTGGCTAAAAAAAATATTAATGTCTTTTCTTTCTGTAATAATTTTTAAATCTCTGTTATTTTCTGTATGTATATCAAATAATCCTCTCATATATAGATTTTCAATATATCTATTATGAATCGTTAGGCTCTTTCTTTGACTAGTGTATTTACACAAATCGAACGAACTAGAATAATTTGTATTCTACATTTTTTTTTTGTTGCAATTTTATTTTACAACGGAATTTAATTAACCATACGTATGATATTCTTATAAATCAAAAATCTTATATCTTATTATTTTATTTAGATTATTGTTAAACAATCATCTGATTAAATGTGAAAACCAATGAAGTTTTTCATTGATACATCTTTTTAAAGCGTGTGAAATGTCAACACATATATAATTTTTCATCTCTTCTTTTCAAATCTTTCTGTTTATCAAACAATCTTGAGTCAGTATAGTTTAAAAAGTATGTGCATGAATATTCTTCTGCGCAATATTTATTATTATTTCAATAAAAAAAAAAAGAAGTAAAGAAATATATTTTTTAGTTCAATGTTCTCTTATAAATTATGAAATTGCCAGTCTCCTGTTATTAATCCATAGCTTACAGCAAAAGATATTCCACCAGCAAATATTGATGCTGTTGCAATGAGAGAACCAACCAAAAGATGGGAAACACCTTTGAATAATTCACAAAACAATATAAATTAAAAAAGTAGAAAAAGACATTTTACCAGAAATTCCTTGTCCACTCGTACAACCACCAGCACAACGTGCACCAACTAATAATAAAAATCCGCCAAAAAAACTATTCCAAGGAGTTGCACCATATCTTTCATTTAAAGGAAATTGATTTCCTGAAACTGTTGACATAAAACTTCCTACAACAGCTCCGAATGCAAATAATAATGTCACAATATTTTGTATTCCATAAGTAAATGATTCTAGCGATGGTATTAATTGTTTAAAAACTGGTATACGACATAATTGTGCAACTAATACAGAAAATGCTGTTGATATTCCTAATGATTTTTGAAATAAAATCATAAAAAATAATTGCAACAAACCAACACCAATACCACATACTGCTGCTGACCAACCAGTTAGTTTCTGAAACTCACTTGATACCATTAAACCATATGTATAGGTAAAAAAATATTCCAAAATAAATGCAATACTAATCAATGTTACACCAAATATTAAATTCAGATGAATACGTTTTACACCCATTAAATCTGGAAGTTGCTGTAGAGCTATTGATGATTTTGGTACTTCATGTTTCGTCAAACGTTTTTGAAGAAATAGATAATAAAACAAAACTCCACACATACCACCAAGAGCTGTTATAAGAGCATTTCGTAGACCGGCGCCACTAAGCAAAAGAAAGAATTCTGAATATAAAAGAATAAAAAGAGTCGCTTACATTTGAACAAATATTGTTCCTGGACAACTACCAGCAAGAACCATGCCCACTCCCATGAGACAACCTCCAGTAATAAGATGACGAACTAAAGAAAATAATTAATATTTGAATTTTTTCCAATAGAAAAATCTTTAGAAAACTGATAAAATGTATTTCTCACTAGTAGAATTTCATATGATATCAACTTACATCCTTTTCTTGGTAAGGAGCTAGTATGATGGTTACAGCTAGCATATTTTTAGAATAATATTGAATTGTAATTTTCTTAGCTATTTGTCTTTCATTATATATAAATAGTTTTCTTCGTCACGTAATCAGAATAGTATGTGCTTTGATTTTGCTGAATGTAGCTATAATTTTCGTCAAAAAATTCGTCTAATATTCTATCGAATTAAATGCTTTCTATTAGTGCAGATAATATGTATTCTATTTGCCAATATACACTGCCAACTAAGAGCCCAACACGAACAAGTTTATAAAAACAACTTCTTGTCGAATGTTTTTTGACTTCATCCTAACCGATGTAGAGTAAGTTCATAACAGTGATCAAATAATTCAATCGTTTCAAATCTGAACTATTACACGAGCACTGATATTCCTTGGTGATAGAAAAAGATATTATTTAGACAACATTGCTGTATTAGTTTTTGAGTATGAAGTTCTACACGTACTCGTTGAAAGGTCCAAGCTTTTCTGAAGAATCTTATTTTCACATTTCAGTGTTGGTAAACAAACATTCAGGAACACTCAAAAAAATTTTTCCAATAATTTTCAAATAGGTGAAATAAAGATTTGCGATTTGTATTATTGAAAAGATGGGAATGTAAGACGTTGATCTTTATAGAAATCGATGGATTAACGAAGATAAATGTTAGCCTTTGCTTTAAATGAGCTTAAAACCTAGTATTTTGTTTTTCTTTCATGATTATGCAGCTGTTTCACAAACGACAATTCTTTGATCTTTAGAAAATTGGTTAAAGCCATATAATCGCTTATTATGTTTATCACAAATTATTTTTCTAAATTAAATTTCAGCAAATGCCTAAGCATAAAGATTTGCATGAAGGATTTCACTGTTTTAAATTTTTTTTTAAATCTCTAAAAGAAATCTTTGTGGACAATTCTATATTTTAAATGATTTACCGTCAATACGTTCGTTACGCTTAATAAATCCATTCAAAACATTTCTATAAGTTGATTCATCGATAAGAGTAAGCAAAGCTATACTCAACATTGACGTTCCAATCGCAGAAAAAAACATTTTAAGCATTGCTACGCGTGCAAATAACATTTGCCTTCGAATTATTGTACTCAGACATACACTTCCTTTGTTCATTAAAAAACCAAATATTATGCCTAATGCAATTGATGAAACTATTTGAATAGGAATATTAATTCTATTGGATAATTTTGCATTTTTGCTTTTATCAGAATTTCTAAACAAAAAATAATCAACACAAAAAATTTTTTTTTCAAATAAATTATTTACTGAATGCTATTTGATTCATTGTTTGTAGACATTTCTTGTCTATTACGATGTGTTAGTTGTTCGTTGGCCATGGTTTACTAATTCGCTATTCACTTGTAATAAAAAATATTATGGTAGGGTTATACGGTTGAAGAAAAGACACAAATATTGGATGGTTACGCTTGATTGCTCGATCTGTCAAGAAAAAAACATACACTTATCGATGTTAAAATACATTTATATACACATTTTTTTTGCTGGAATGAAATGTTTTTATGAAAAACATTTCTCACACAAAGCAGATATATGTCGTCGAAAAAAATATCTCGTATGCTTATATGTAACGACAGAAATAGAACATACTCTGCAGGCATTAATGAGTGAGGCAACATATCATATAATGAGAAGTAATAGACTAATCATATTCTGTTTGCTAGCCTCCGATAAGAAGAGCTATCATATGTTCTATTTGAAATAACTAGAAAACATGAAAAATAAATCACTATTTGGATCAAAAGATGTCTTTTTAGCATGTATTCAAATGTCATCTGTATGTTGTTATAACGAAAAAAAATGAATGAAATAGTAAAAATCGTTACCAGATAATATCGCCATCTACTTATTTTTGTTTGATATGGTAGTCGAATACTAATAAAATATTTTACAATAGATTTTCAACCAAATATGGAAGATTTATTATTTTATTGATATTTCTTCTGAATAGTGTTTGCTGAATACTGAATTTTTTTTGCAAACGATCGTCTTTTAATTCCTACATAATAATAGGTTTTTGTTTGTTGTAAATCAGAGATATGTACCGCATAGAAAAGACGAGATGGCAAGGATGCAGAGAACAGCGTCAGTCTGAAAATAGCGGCGAGAGGCGGTCACCATCAGAAAATCTTTTTAGCTAGTAACACAGCGGACAAGTGACTGCCCGGTGGTTGTGCCTCAGGATAGCTGGACAACATTTTTTTAATCATATCCATGGCTCTATAATAGTTCTTAGAAAATGATACTTCATTTTTGAATAATTGCGTATAAACGACAATATAAAATTGAAAATAGCACAGAAAAAACATTTAATTAGGTAAGCTGTAACCAGATATACATATTTACTTATAGGATACTCGTTTCAATCTTAATCTATTTTGTAATTAAATTTGCACAAATTTATGGTTTAAGAAGAATTTAAATATAATGCTTGTCACAGTGAAACTCATTAAGTTTTGAGCTAGGTCGATTTGTTATCAGAATAATTTTTGATCAACATTGGTGACGATTGATTTTATAAATTCAACAAATCTGTATCGAAATTATGTCATACGACGAACGGTATATTATAAAAAACGAGTGTGTTAATGATTAAATTAATTTTCTTAATTTTCAGCATTTGTTATACATATTTTTTTCAATCTTCAGCAATACATTTCAACAATTGGTATAATATAAGCGTCCCTATTTTGTTTCTGTTTCTGTGGGAAAACTGCAATGAAAGGAACTATCTAAAATTTTTGAAAACTATATCATGAGATGGAGAATGATTGAAAAAGTATCCATTATCTTGAATTTTTGTCAGTTTTTACAAATATTGATGTGTAGTGAAGGTGCAACAGTTCTCTCGTTGCTAGCATGTATTTATTGTGAGCCAATAAAAAAAATAAGAAAATATCTAACAATGAAAAACAGAAAACTTGATGTGCTATACAAAACGTTAACTCATGAAGAACTATTGTAATCTAGGCTAGTTTATTCGATTGGAAAAAACTGGACGGGAGCAAGACTTCGTCAATATATAGCAGTATTGGAAATATGAAACGATAACAAATATTATTTTTGGGAACAGGAACTGAAGAAAGCTAGTTTCTACAGAACTCTGTTTGAAATATGGTGATACATTAAATTGTTGTTTATGGACTTTTTTAAAAAATTCTAATTTATATCATAAATGTATTGGTTATCAAGAGTTAGATACAGTACTGAATTAAAGAATCAAGAGAGGTAGTAGAACAGTATTTGCGTTATCATCATTGTTGAGAAGAATCATCATAAAAGTTACTTGCCAACTACAAATTATACTTATCATCCACTATAGATTCAATCACCTTTAGTATACGTTAGCGATGCATATTGTCGAATTATATTTTTAGCCATTGTATCTGGGCACGAGCTCAAACAAAATGAAAGTTTATTATCAATCTTCGTAATGGTCTTAATGTTTTAGTTTTAACGAATAATTTTGATTTTCTAGACTTTTGATAATCTTTCAAAAAAGTAGCGAAAATAAAAAAAAATGCAGGATGATTCGTCAAAAGTAAAATGAATCGGATTATTTTTGAAAAAAATCAGGACTCACTACGATGGACGTTTAAAATGTATGGTCTTAGTAAATTTCAACGAGTTTATCCAATACATGCTATGAGAACGAAAGTTTCATATATGAATGATTAGTTCATAGCAGAAGCCAAAATAGAGCGAATTGAGACGGAAAAAGAAAAATCCTGTTTGTTTCAGCCTTAGATTCATAGTTCAGTCTTATGAATTTTTATCATAGTTTAATAGATATGCACATGATTTTCGTATGACGATAAATCTAAATCATAGAGAATTAGAGTTATATACTGTCATAGCCTTTAAAGTCATAAATAATTCATTTACTGTTAGAAACCGATAATAATAACTAATGTAAATATATTTTTGTTGAGAACCTTTCTTTTTGAGTTCAATATTAGAATAATAAATAATGTCGATTACTATGCAGTTTAACTCGAAGCATTTAATCGAAACTAAAACAGAATATTGATAGTATTCGAAGTAAACTTCATTTTCACTGGATATGATGATACAATTATGTTTGAGACATGAAAATTTTATGAATAATACAGTCCGAGTATAAGCCAAATTCAAAGTGTAATTTACATTGATAAGTTCATATTATCGAAGTTAAAATGGTAAGTTAATATTATGAATTTCTGTCATTGAACAGAAGTTTGTTGTAACAATAGAACAGATATTATTATTATTTATTTTATCAAAAGCAAAACCTTGTTAATAAACTAGACTATAAAGAAATTCATTTATAATAAAGATATTGCCGTCTGAGCATTTAACTCCTATAATGTTCTTTTATTAATAAATACCATGTCGAAAGCATAGGTTTCACAAATATGATTTTAATTGAAAATTATTCTACTTAACAAAAATATTCTTCAGAAGATCTATTTTTAGTTTTTTCATAATATATATTCAAATGCACTTAACCAATTCAATTGTAAAATCTTCTACATTGACTTTTTCTTTATAATGATTCTCTGAACGATATCTTCAAAGTTGAAATTGATCAAACTTTCAAGCTGACTAGAGATTCTATCTAATAATGAAGTTGTAATATAATTATTGTTTTTCTCTCAATGTATAGATTCAATTAAAATGAATAAGCTTTAAAAAACATCCAAATATACAAGTGATTTTTATTCTAGCATTAACAATAGCTACATTTATACTTACATAGATATATAAATATTTGTTTTTATTTGATCAAACTTGAATAGAAATAATAGTCAATATATTTAAAAAAATTTTTTTATGCATTTTTTAGAACATTCGATATCATTGAAGCTTCTTTTTCAAAAAAAGTAAAAAAAAAAGTAGATAGAATATACGAAAATACAATTTGGTGAGTACTGTATGAAAAATGGCATACGTTAGAAAAAATAATAATAAGGGAAATCGCAGATTTCCATTGTACTATCGACATATAAGCATAATCAAATTTCATTAAAGCAATTTGTAACAAAAGAAAAAAGAAACTCATGTTTAAGTAGAACGATCATTAATCATTAGAAGAGAAAATTTAGCATAAAGTAATATCACTGCGAAGAACAAAACCGGTGAATCAAATAATACAGTTTATGTTATGCACATAATTTGAAACCAAAACTCATATTTGTTCATTAAAATTTCATAGGTGGTTGCTGCAATCTAAAAAAATTCATTGATACAATGTCATGTTCTAAAAAGAGACACAATAAAATACAGTTGGTAAGATACGTACGGTGGTTTCCATTTAAATTTCTTATTGAGTGTCTCAGGACGACCAGATTGATTGAGTTGCGGCCGATGTTGCTGTAAATCCGAGAGATAAATCAAGAGATCATATTAAATAGATTTACTTACTTGGTCTTCAATCCGAGGACTATGAAATAAAACATTATTATTATCATTATCCCGAAAATGATGAGAAACTTTTGTACCATTTGAACGAGTGCTACCTCGTTCATCCAGCAACGTTTTTGATGTCGATCGTCCACGTGAAGGGTCAACACCTGGGACAAATGCAGTAAAACACAAATACAATAATTAAACACCGCTCACTTGCTGATCCTGTTAGTCGAGGCATAGGTCTACGATGTTCTGTCTTTCTCTCAAGTGATATGGCGCTATGTGATCTATTTGGTAATGATTGAGTACCACTCGAACGATGGTCCATTTGTAATCCAAGGAAAGTATCGTGAGCAGGAACATCACGAGAAGAATTTATCAATTGCAAACCAACATCACTAGTTGTTTTACGTTGCCTAGATGTTGGTTGCCCGTTAATGGCAAGAGGTGAAATATTATTATCATGTTGTTTCATAGTTTCATTAGTTCTACGAACATTGATGCTTACATGAGATGAAGCACGTCCATTTTCTAATGTAGTAGTACGTTCTCGATCATTAATTCGATCACGAATATCTTTGGACAATGATGAATAATGGTAAGCTGACATTAACATCGGTTGAAGAGAAGAATAAGTTTAACATTATTTAAATGTACGTTTTACTTCTGTAAAGTGAAAGACTATAATTTTTTTTTCAACTTACTTGATAACAACGTTGGATCTCTGTCAATTTTTAACGATCTGTTTGTAAAAGCAACTGTTGAGAATGGTTGCGAATTATTAAGTTTAGCTGTTCGAGCCATACTATCAGGATTCTTGCGACAAAATCTCTGTTTAATAATTATGGCAGAATATTTTTTTTATGAAACAATACTCAATTAGTCAATTACTTCATGAGTTTGAAGTTGTTCTATTGACAATAATTCTTCACAATATTCACATGGAAGTTTTTCAGTGAAAGGTTTTCGATTTATTGTTCTAAATACTGCAATGTAGAACTATTAATTGACGACTGAAAAATATTTACTCAGCAAGAGCCTCTATTCGACGAATTTCTCGTTCCCGACAGTCTTGCTATAAGAAAATAATATGAAAGACAAAGCAGTCGATAGAAAAATATATTTACAACGTGAGTCGCCCAATAACGTAAATCAACTTGTTTATTACAAATTTCACAGGGAATATAAACAATATCTTGTGATTTGCGATGTCTATTCGCTGATGAACGAGCTGAAAACAGAAAAAGTAGAATATCAAAGGATTGAAATAAAATAGAAAAGAATACATTCAGCTGTATTCGATATTTGTGATGTTTGTTCTAATTGTTCATTCATTTTGATCTGATTTTCAAGACGGTTTTCCTAGACATTATAAAGTCAATATAAATTTAAAATGTTGAGAATATATGTACTATTGAAAGATATACCTGATGAACTTTATGATCATTGGATAAATATTGATTATTAGAAGATTTAGATATAATCGTATCTGATGTACTTCCTTCAAAGAAAGAACGAAAGAAAGAAGAAAGTAATCAGATACATAATCTGAATATATTGTAAATGAAAGAAAAGCTAACTCTTGTTTGAAGCCGATGATGAAACTTCATCTAATGGTTTTGATCGACAGTTCGAAGAAATATAACTACTATCATCTTCCTGATTATGATCGTTGACGTCATTCTGTTGTGACACTGATCTGTTGGACTTTGAAGAACGACGATGTGCTGATGAATTTCTAGATTGAGGAATAGGAGTATCAGTCTCTTCTAAGTTAGCACAATTATTCTCGTAATGATAGGCGAAAATAGCTCTTCGTATAAATTTACGGCAATTTGGACATTGATCAGTTTTATTTCCACATAACATTAAATGAGCACTTAGAGCAGATGATGATGGTTGAGGTTCTTGGCAAAAAGAACATTTAATAGATCGACTATCACAATTATTTAACTATAAAAGTAAAAGTTTTTGAAAATTAATAATCATTGTTAGTCATGACCTACTTGATATTGATCAAGTTCTTTTTGATTCGTATTTTTTCGCTCCCAATCGCCTACATCTGTTTCTTTTTCCTCGTCATCCAGTCTCAGTCGATGCGAACTCTGAGATCTGCTGCAAATATACAATAACTAAGTAAAATTATTCTCATATTTTAAAAATCCAGACAAACCTAGATCGAGTGGAATATGCAGTTGCCATACAAGAATGACTATTTAGAATCTAAAGTATATGTTCATATAACAAAATCCAAGATTTTTTTTTATAAATTTCTATTTATTCAAATAATAATTAAAAGTTTTATTCACTCTCAATTAGTATGAGAAGATAAGAAAGGTCTTATTCATGACTAAGCTTGAACTGTAATTTCTATAAAACAATTTTTGATATTGCTCAATAAAAACTTGTCTTCAAGTTTGCACATTTCATGTCGAATTTACCAATAAAAATTGTTTGCTTTACTCTTTTTGAGAAGTCAAAATGTAAAATAATAACGAAAAAAAAACACATTATATAAATGAATTTTAAAAGAAAAGAAAAGAAAAGAATGAGGTAAATATAGAGAACAGAACAAATAAGAGTTTCAAAGTAGAGTAACATCTGATTCGACAGATTCTAACCAAAAGAATTAAAAAATCACTGAGAGAGGTCAGCGACAGATGAATATCTAATATTATTTAAATAAAACTCTTTTTTTTTATCGTATAATTTTCAAAATTTATTATTCCATTTCTAGCACGCTTCATTCACTAAATATCCTTTCATTTTCTTTTCTATTTAAAGAAATTATATTACTTGAAAAATACGTTCAACACTTTACGAGTTGACACTGTAGAATGCTATATTGGTGCATAACTTCGCGGAACCCATTGTATTGAAATGTTGTTTCACTGATGCGGTGGACATAGGTGGCGAAACGTTTTGAATCTAGGGGTAGGCTTAACATTTTTTTATAAGATCCTTACCGACAGGTTAAAAATAGAGAGGGTAATGTTTTTATGCTATGCCATTCAAATAAAACACAATTAATACTGTTTATTTCGAACTCACATTATTTTAACGCATATCATTAGTGCAGATCAGAGATGAATTTGCAACTTATGACAAAAACCTTGTATTCAAGGAGCCACTTAAACTTGTGTGCTATTTGAATAGTGACCTTCAAATATAGCCCATCGGATGCAAAACTTTTGGATCTGAACCCGGGTTGGTAGTCTTCGTACTTGCAATGCAATTTTTTTACTCCCAATCTGATAATCATTTCAAAGATACTGCTAGATTGGAAATAATATTTTTCTAAGGGATAGCATTCTGATTTCAAACAGCATAAACAATGAGTTTTATACCAAATGAAAGCGCGTGAAAAGTGGGATTTAGGAGTATAATTGGTCATTCATAATATGAGAATGGACTATGGAATTATGGAAAGTTTCAATTTTTAGATACATAATTGAATATTTCCATCGATATTCAACTAATAAAACATCAGATTTCTTCGCCTTTCATACTTTATAGAGCTCTCTTCGCTGATTATTCTGGTTAAAAAAGCTTTATATTTGACCAATAAATAACAATGCTAGGGTGGAAATATTGACAATCTCAAGCTGTTACGGCTGATAAAGCTAATATATCTATGAGTATTTTGAACCTAGCATCGTTATTTATTCGTCAAATTTAAAACATTTTTAACCGAAATAATCAGCGAAGAGAGCTCTATAAAGTATGAAAGGCGAAGAAATCTGATGTTTTATTAGTTGAATATCGATGGAAATATCCAATTCTGTATCTAAAAATTGAAACTTTCCATAATTCCATAGTCCATTCTCATATTATAAATGACCGATTATACTCCTAAATTCTATTCTTCACGCACTTTCATTTGGTATAAAACTCATTGTTTATGCTGTTTGAAATCATAATGCTATCCCTTAGAAAACTGTTATTTCCAACCTAGTACATTTTTTTCGATTAATTTTTCGGTGACCAGCACACTCTACACATTTTTCGCACAATCTTGACGGTAATTTTGTAATAATCAAGTTGTAACTGGCTGTTACTTGTAGCTAGAGCCCATCAGGTCTGAATTCTAGGACTTGTATCTGGATCCAGATCTGAATATGATCAACAGAAAAATTTCAGAACCAGGTCCGACTCTAGAGTCGGTCAGGTTCTGAACCGACTTGACGAGCTGCACCTTGGAACGAGGAGTTTTTAATTTGTACTACTGAAAACTAGAATTATGACTTCGTAGCAGTGCTCACAGAAACGGATCGCATCGTGAGTTTGTTCGGTGTGTCGAAAATGTTTGATTGGCATCTGAGATTAATCGTTGAGAGGGAAGAAAACTTTAGGCATCAACTAGCAGATCTGATTGCAAGTATCCGGCGGGGTTTTTGTATATTACTATTTTCAAATTATCATGAGATTAATTGAAATTGATTAAGCTTATTACAATTTGAAAGGTGTATATCATATACAACACAATCTTCATTCATTTAACATATATTAATTAATCACAATTGTTTTATTTGTTCTTTCTCACTTGATGCTCAAAGTCACGATCGTCTTAGTAATGTGACTCGTCAGTTAAGAACAACTTCTCTTCACAAGGAGAGAAGAGAATATCAAAAGAGAGGAGTCATTCTTAGCAACATATTATCTCTCGCCAATCTCTATTTTTGCTATCGGATGGCCAATAAACGGATTGCAAATATGGCTCATTGATTAAACTTACAACTACGAAAAAAACTTTTTAAGATCTTCGTTTTTAACAAGCTATACTGTTATCGGAATGAACAATGACAGTAGTAAGTACCTTGAAATCATTTGATTTCGACTACTGACGAAATCCGTTTCGACTCGCATTTATAAAGTTAAAGTTCTTAGTTATCATTAATATGAGTTGATCTTCTAAGTAAAAAAGATGAGAATTAAGACAATTATGATATGCTTATTAACGAAAGCATAAAACAAATGCTTCTCATATATTTGAAAACATAGTACAGAAAACTTTTTTCAGATCAAATCTTACGGAAAAACTGCCAGTTTTATGAATCTTGAAATCTTAAGGTTTTCTGCTTTCTCTTAACCTAAGAACCGATTTTCACAGTGAGATCTCCACATTTCTTGTATTATGTATGTATTCATTCAAATAAAGTAGGAGTCGATAGCAGTACTTTATATTAATTCTAACAAAACTAATAATATCACGAAAGGCACATACGACAGTGAAACTTGTAAAAATGAATATGACATTACGCAAGCTATTCCTAATAGTTTAAGAAGTTACAACAACAATAATAATATCCAACTATAAATAGCCTAGAGTCAACTCTTCTATTAATTATAGGTGTGCTGTTGATTGATTATGATCATCGATAAATTAGATGTAATCAGCGCTTATTTATAGAGAAAATGTTATACGTTCTCGAAAGCTCTTAATTCAACTTTTTTCTTATGGTTTATCTTGTACTATATTCTAACAATGCGTATAAGGTTTTCGAACAATCTTCTAGTTCATTTCTTATATGGAAAAGTTCAATCTCATACGATTATCTACTTACTTGTATCCGATCCAATAAATTATAAAAACAAAAGGAAATATTCGTCCTCTTGTTTAAAACAATAGATAAAGCTTTCTCTATTAATCAACAGTTTTTGCAGCATCTGCAGACACTTGTGCTCCAGCTTTTACATTATCTACAGCAGTTTCTTTGATATTTCTTGTTCCTTCAGTGTTATTATCTTCGAGCATATATTATCGACATAAAAAATACAGCAACACTTAATAAGAACGACTTTTCCTTAAAACTCTGTGTTGGAACATGTAGTTTTCGCCAATGATATTAAACCTGAAAACACAAAACATAAACTTTCGAAAGAAAAAAATATAACCCATTTTTTAACCAATTTTTATTCTTTAATCTAGAAAAAAATTATAAATCACACATTTATACAAAAAAATCCAAATCTAATTCAGTAAACTACTGAATGATGGCTTGTCTTTATATATATGAGTATGAAATATATATTCTAGAAGTTAAATGCCAGTTTAAAAGCAAAATATACGCACATAAAATAGTTAAATGTTGCATAAAAAATAAAATAGTACAAAAATTGGAATTATAAGAAGCACGGTAAAAAGTTAGTATGAACAACCTACAAAGCTTTAGTTAGAATTCTCTGAAAAAAAGCTTGATTATCTCGTTTCGACCAGTATTAAGGGTAATTAAAGAAATACAAATGAGTAAATGCTGAGAAAGAAAATAATTGAGAGTTATAAATGTCTTTTTCTTATTGACTAGATTCACTAGAGTTCAGCGGTTTCCTTAACTTTTTTCTTAGCCTTTCCAGCAGTTTTCTTTACTGTATCAGAAACTTCATCCAATTTCGATGTAGCTTGATCAGCTATATCAGTAGCAGTATTTGATGCCAATCCAACAGGTTCTAAAATTATATTTAAAAAACAAGAATAAAGTTTTATTTTTAAAAGTTTTAATTTACCCAATAGTGAATTTTTAACATCTATAAGAATATTAAAAAGTTTATCAACAATACCATCACTTTGTTTTTCTACTTGTTTTTTAGCATCTTCAGTATTTGTTTTGACTTTTTCCTCGGCATCACTTGCCTGACGTTTGATTTTTTCACTGGTATCACTTACTTGACGTTTGATTTTTTCACCTTTTTCTGCATAATATAAATATATTTGTTCTTCAAGAAAAAAAACAATTTAAATATTTACTTGATGCTTTTTCGGCAACGTTTTCAGCCTTTTTCTTAGCTGATTTGACAGTATGACTAGTTGTATCTTTTCTAAAGAGTAAAAGAACACAAGATTATTTCTTTTTATTTCCAGTTTAACTTACAAATCTTCGACACTGCCACTAGCTTTCTTTTTAAGTTCTTTACCTGCTTTCTTAGTTTCGTCAAGTTTTTTGTCTGCAGTTGCTTTGGCATTTCCGGCTGCCTTTTGGCCAGCTTTGAGTGTTTCAGCTAAATCAATAATAGAGTTAAAATGCCTTTGATATTGAACTATAATCTAGTATGGTTAAAGGAAAAGAAATTTAGAATAATATTTGGTGTACCACAAAATAAAAAGAGACTATTTAAAATTTACTTAAATAATTTTAAAGTTTTGTTCTTCAATAAAGATTTATTATTTGAGAAATTAGGCTTTTGCTAAAGATAATCTTTGAGTGATATTTTTCGATAGAAGAGAAATCGATGATGAATCTTTATTGGACATAGATGTTTACCATATGACGATACTCATGAAATACACGCATTGTGCATTTTTTTTCTCATAAGTATATAAGAGATAGTATGGAAAGTGAACAACTTTGACTCGATTTATATTCAAGACCGTCTCGCTTTCTCAGACAAAGGAATTAACACAAGTTTTTTCTTTACGAAAAAGTAAAGCTGATTGATCTTAAGAAAAAATTTGTCTCATAAAGCTCAAAAATCAATAAACTTTTTTTGATTTCATTATTTATTTTTCCAAGTAATTGTCTCATCATATAATCTAGTTTTGCATGCATTCTAATAAAGCTTTTGAGAGCATTTTTGTTTCGATCATTTAAGGAAAAATGCTTGTAAAACAAGCACAAGAGAAAAGTTCTTATTCAACTTATGTTAAATTCCTTTTAGAGACTTGACTTGAAATAAGACAAGTGTTCGTAAATCTAAATCTAGTATATATTGAGATGAACAAAAAAAACTTGCTTGTTTGTTTATTGTAAAGATCTCAATGTAATTCAATTCATTCATATAAATTAGAAAGATTTCTAACAGAGAACGTTACAGAATGGTTTTCTTCGTTCTGTTCTGTATTTTGCAAGACATTATCAATCAATCATCCTACTTTGCAGAACATTCTTTGCATTGCACTTTTGACAAGGATAAAAAAATTGTCCGCATATAAGGTATAATGTCAAAAATTATTTACAATAGAATCATGCTAATAAATCTTATCGCATGTTTACCACCAGAAATGCAATGAACAATAAAAAAAACTGGAGACTTCACCGTCCTGCGGGACACGAATTTTGTGACGTTCTCTGATTTCTAATACTTCAATGTCTTTTAACATACGCGTCTTGGATCAAAATATTTTTATTTTGCATCGATATAATAAGTTATCATCGCCACTAATATGGCTAATCGAAGAAACATCAACGTTCTGTGAACTTTGTGGATGTCTCATTATATTTCCTTTATTTTGAACTTGAACTTATTTATAAAGAAATCCACTGCTTTCATACATATTTCAGAATGATCATCTGCTATGTGTTCAATATTTTTTGAAGCAATTATCGAATAATCTCTGCTAATTAGATTGCTCAACTTATAAATTTTATCTGTTAAAGTAAACTATAGCTTACAAGCTTTGTCTTTTACTGTATCAGCATTATCCTTGATGGCATCAGCAGCTGAATGTGCAGCATCTTTAGCTTTATTAGTACGTTCATTAACAACATTAACAACATGTTGCTATTGAAAAAAAAATTATTATAATACATCTAATGAGAATAATTATTTAACATACTTTCACTTTTCCTCCTTGACCTAATGTGTCTGTTATTTTGTCTTTAAGATCATCTTTAACATTACCATTAACAATGGTAAAGTATACAACAGCAATTATAAACAATTTGAACATAAATAAGACTATTTCAATATTTAATATATTTCATAAATGATTAATCTACAACAAATGAAAATTTCGACTCATTATACAATTCGATATTTTTCTCGAATAAGCAAAAGGGAACAATTCAAGGACAAATAAATAAATTCTAAGTCATTCTATTTCGTTCGTTCGTTTCGGTCTATTCTTAACCTGGATATTACTATAATATATTATGAATATTTGTCGCCACATACTCAATAATAAAAACGTTGATAGTACCGATCACTAATAATATAGGTTTACGTAGTGATTTTTCTAGTTAATTTAGATAATAATTTTAATTTAAAAATAATTATTTAATATTAATAGAATTTTAAATCTAAATTAATCTTATTAATAAATTTAATTTCATTCTATAAGAATAATTCTTTCTCATCCCTCATTATTTTAGTAGTTGGAGGCGAAGAAGAAATGAGAATGACTCATCCAATACAATTATCTATGTTATATCAAGCAATCTTCCACATTCTTCTTTAAACGATAAGATTATATTCTAAATAAGACCACAAAATTCTTCATTTCTATTTTTTCTTTTTTTTTATGATAAAAACAAAACATTAAGTTTTCATTTTACGTTTTTTTATCTTCAAGATCGTAAACATGGCCGGACAATTGCCGATTAAGTTTCAAGAACATCTACAAGTAAAATTTCTTCGAATATTTATTTCAAATTAAATAAAATATTTCTTTTTATTTTAGTTGCAAAATGTTGGTATCAATGTTACAAATATCGGTTTTAGTTCTCTTACAATGGAATCCGATAAATTTATATGTGTACGTGAAAAAGTTAATGATACAGCTTTTGTTATTATTATTGATATGGCTGATCCAAATAATCCAATTAAACGACCAATTACAGCGGATTCAGCAATTATGAACCCAGCAAGTAAAGTTATTGCATTAAAAGGTAAAGTAAATAGTTTATTGAACAAAAAAAACATACAAAACGAATTCATGTATTTATGTTTTTTTTATTAGCTGGTAAAACATTACAGATTTTTAATATTGAATTACGTAGTCGAATGAAAACATATACTATGACAGAAGATTGTATTTTTTGGAAATGGGTTAGTATCAATACAATTGGTATTGTTACAGAACCATCTGTTTATCATTGGTCTACGGAAGGTGATAGTCAACCAGTTAAAATGTTTGATCGTCATCAAAGTTTAGTTGGTTGTCAAATAATTAATTATCGTACTGATGAAGCATTACAATGGCTTCTTGTTAATGGTAAAGAATTATTATTTATATATATATATATATATTTTTTTTTTTTTCTTAATTTTTAGGTATTCAAGCTCAAGAAGGTCGTGTTGTTGGTCGTATGCAACTTTATTCAGTTGAGCGTAAAGTTTCACAACCAATCGAAGGACATGCTGCTGCATTTACACAATTTAAACTTGAAGCAAATAAAAAACTATCAACACTTTTTTCATTTGCTGTTCGTGGTCCGCAAGGAGGAAAAGTAAATAGAAACATATTTTTTTATCTTTTTTTTGTTTTGTTTTTATCTTTTTTCTTTTCTTTTTTTAGCTTCATATTATCGAAGTTGGAACACCAGCACCAGATAATCAACCATTTCAAAAGAAAGCAATTGATGTTCAATTTCCAGCTGAAGCACCAAATGATTTTCCAGTTGCTATGCAAACATCAGCTAAACATGGCGTTATTTATTTAGTTACAAAATATGGTTATGTACACGTATTTGATATTGAAAGTGGAACACTTATTTATATGAATCGTATTAGTGCTGATACAATGTTTGTTACAGCACCATATGAACCAACATCCGGCATTATTGCTGTTAATCGTAAAGGACAAGTAAAGAAAATAATATTTGTTTTGCAGATTTTTTTTATTTTTTTTTTATTTTTTATTTTTTGTTAAAAGGTTCTTTCAGTCAGCATTGATGAAGATAATGTTGTTTCATATATTCAAAATACATTAAGCAATGCTGAACTTGCTTATAAAATGTCAGCACGATGTAATTTACCAGGTGCTGATCAATTATTTGTTGCACGATTTTCACAGTTATTTCAAAGTGGAAATTATGGTGAAGCAGCTAAAGTTGCTGCTACAGCTCCACGGGTAAATATTAAACATAGATATTTGATTTATATTTTCAATATCTTGAGAATTAAAAATTCTAATAATAGATATGATTAAAAAAACAAAGAAAATTTGATACAAATATAATGAAGATTTCATTATGACATTTTACAAGTGAGAAATTTATGAGAAAATTGTTGAAGTAAAATAGAAAATCTAAATAAAGTACATGCCGAAATAGATGGTTGGTGTTGTGGAATTCGAAATAATTACGTCATTTTATTACTGTTACAAACCATCTATTAAAATGAAAAACAAAAATCATCTTAAGTCTTTTCTATTTTTTTTTCTTATGAAAGTACCTTAAATAGAAACTTCTTCTGTTTTTAGAAAACCATTCTTAATAGGATAGATGCGTAAGAAGAAGACTACCACGATATCTTCTGTACAACTATGACTAGCTGTAGCTCTAGACAGAAAGCCCGCCTGACGCAGAGTTCTTTTGCTCAATTGCTTGAGCTTTCCATGCATACTTATTAACCACAAGAGTAGCTCTATGTCACAACATAGTCAACATACTATCAGCAGGGTGATCTGAGATACATAGCTGCTAGTGACTTATCCATGATCATTCCATAGTTTGTGTTACTGATGTCTGCAGACAGTACCTTGTAGATACGTATCGAACAGCGTAGTCACTTAGCTATGGTGGCTGGAATGGGTACGATAACATACGCTTCTCAAGTGTGTTATCTAGTCTTCGTTTAAATAAATTAAATAGGGGTATGAGTGATTATTATTATTATAAACAAAGATCTACCTAAATTTTTTTTTATATAATGAAAAGTTTATCATCACATATGTGTTTGATCTTCATTAATGATTAATAATTCATTTCTTGAGATATCCATATATGATTAGATCTGTAATAATTCACGATCGAGGAACTGATAACCAGTCCTATGCTTTTTGGACAACTACGACAGTTACTGAATAGAATTACTACATTACCATCATCAGTCTACATAGCTCATATGAAAAGAACTGCTCGTTAGACCTAGCAGTGTTTCATTCAAATTTTCTCTTCCGGATGAACGATTGAAGATTTCGGAAGCCCATGCTGGATAAAACACTGAGATCCAGTTCCCTCCAAAAAAAAAAGACTGAACTGTCACAGATATAAACATTATGTACATATCTGCATGTTTAAAGTTAAGATTAATATAATGATGAATGTATTATTTTAAGGGAATACTTCGTACTCAACAAACAATTCAACAATTTCAAAGTGTACCACCACAAGCAAATCAACCATCACCATTACTTCAATATTTTAGTATTTTATTAGAATCAAGTAAATTAAATAAAGAAGAATCAATTGAATTATGTAAACCAGTTGTAATGCAAGGAAAAAAACAATTATTAGAAAAATGGTTAAAAGAAGATAAAGTAAATAAATAAATAATCTAATTTTTGAAAACGAAAAAAAAAAAATTCTTATTATTTTTCTTTTTTATTATTAGCTTGAATGTAGTGAACAATTAGGTGATCTTGTTAAATCAGTTGATCCTACATTAGCATTATCAGTCTATTTACGTGCTAATATACCAATGAAAGTTATTCAATGTTTTGCTGAAACAGGTCAATATCAAAAAATAGTTCTCTATGCTAAAAAAGTTAATTATCAACCGGATTATATTTATCTTTTACGAAGTATAATGAGAATTAATCCTGAACAAGGTACTCAATTTGCACAAGTAAGACAAAAAATAAAAACATTTATTTAAAATTAAAAAAAAAAATATTTATGATATTTGTTGTTTTTTTTTTCTATAATAGTTACTTGTTCAAGATAATGAACCATTAGCTGATTTAACACAAGTTGTTGATGTTTTTCTTGAACAAAATCTTGTTCAACAATGTACAGCATTTTTACTTGATGCTTTAAAAAATAATCGAGAAGATCAAGGACATTTACAAACACGTTTATTAGAAATGAATTTAATGCAAGCACCACAAGTAAAAATTTATTATTTTGCTTGTTTTTTTCTTTATTTTTAAAACAAATTTTTTTTTTGCTAACAAAAAGGTTGCTGATGCTATTTTGGGTAATAATATGTTTACACATTATGATCGACCACATATTGCACAATTATGTGAAAAAGCTGGTCTACTTCAACGTGCACTTGAACATTATACAGATTTATATGATATTAAACGGGCTGTCGTACATACACATTTACTTAATCCAGAAGTAAATATTGATTTCAAAAACTTTTTTTTTGTCAAATGTAAAACAAAAAACTTTTTTATCTTATTTTAAGTGGCTTGTTAACTATTTTGGTCGATTATCAGTTGATGATTGTGTTGAATGTTTAAAAGCGATGCTTCAAGCAAATATTCGTCAAAATTTACAAGTTGTTGTACAAATTGCAACTAAATATCATGAACAATTAGGAACACAAAAACTTATTGAACTATTCGAATCATTCAAAAGTTATGAAGGTAAAACAGATCGATATAAATCTATGAAATCTACGGATCATTAAAAAAAAATGTTTCTTATCATTATCAGAAAACGATGAGATATATTAGATAGAGATTCTTATAGAGAACTGACAAAAGAATACACATGAACAAGATCAATCAGTCTGATGTAAAAAAAAAACAATTCTCGAAAGGGTTTACAGCACGTATAATATCTATATGATAATCAAAGAACGTGTGTTTGTACTTAATATTTTATTTTTACAAATCTATGACCATAAAATAACGAAATAGAAAAATCGTAAAAGGTTAACAAGAAAAGTTCATGTTCTTGTTCCACTTAACACAGAAAGTCGCTCGAGAAGATCACCAAGACTTATTTCATTTTGTTTAAATAGCAATCGGAGTAAACAAGTTTGTTGTTTAAGTGC